TGCAATAGAGTAGGTTAGGGGTTCAGTTTTTCAACTTTTGCTTACTAACTATGACTTGGATTGATCACTCATTTTCTACAGTCGTTTATGCATCTAGTTCAAGGAATCAGAATGATAGATAGAGCATATAGGTAGCCATGTGAGACTTGAGCTTGCTCATTTCTTTCTTGTGCAATAGATCTCTCTTCTATGACGTGTAGCATTCACGTTGCCACTAGTTAGGATGATGGAGGCATAGGATTAGGTCACTACCAAATTGACTGTCCAGATGTGTCATTACCCCTAGTAATCCCCTTTGAGCCGTGTAACTTTCTTTGTTGGTGTCTACGATGAAAAATCACCCTTGTGCATCTCTTTGAGGTTCCACAGAGTGGTTTTTGCATGGTTTTTGTTGTTTCTTTTTCCTGGAAATAAGATGAGGGTTGGAGGTAGTTCTTAAAAGTTGAGCATGTTCTTCCAAAGGTAAAAGAATGTGTAAAAATGGTGGTTCTCTAAAAAAGAAAAAAAAGAAATGAAAGCAAAAGAGAGCCACAACGAAAATCTTAATCGTGCTTACTAGATAGTGTTTCTGAACAAACTGGCTTGGAGATACTAACATGTTGTAACCTCCTTCACTCTTGAGCTCTAAAGAACTTGACTAATGCAGAATAGCAGGAAAAAATTACTTGGGCCGAATGAATGTCACTATGTTTGGTTTTGGAACTGTGGAACCTTGTGTTATGAATTTTTCCACCACCTAAAAGGCCTTTTTGTCATGTCCAAGACCCTAGCCAGCCATTTGTACCAGTGTCTAAGACCTCCAGACAAGTTAGTGGTGACACCCGATATATGAACTCTAGAATTTAGAGACTGCCATCATGGTGAAGAGACGTTAGGGATTGAGATTACTAGTACACATAGTCTCTTTGGACACGACCTTGCTTCCTGCTATACTACCCTAGAACGATACGTACCCTTGCCTATTTTTCATGCATTAGTTACGAGCGATCGCCTACTTGAAGATATGCTTTTAAGGGCACGAATAAAGCTTCTGACCCTCCTTAAATTCATTGACCCTCCACAGTAAGAAGTGAAAACTTAAAAGAAGTACTATGATATGTGACAGAGTTACAAAATTTGCTCTTGCTCAACTAATAAGGATCGACTTTGGAACTTCAGGTTGGAGCCCCGCCAATGAAAATGAATGAAAGAAAGAAAAAGGTGTTCCAATGGATCTAAAATGAAAAATTAGAAGAAAAAAGCACCCAAAAAGATGAGTCCATGGTTTTGTGTGTTTTCGAGAGTTTCTTCATTCATGAATCATCTGTCATAGAATTACTATTGGACATGATCTGGACATAGGACTAGAGTTCTCGCCGAAGGAGCTAGGAGGTATCTTGTGTATTAGTTGACCTCGCAAGCTGCTAAATTATATAGAAAGTTCTCTGCCGACGATGGTGGTTGCATGCAGTGGCGGACACAGTAATTTTACATAGGGGTGTCCTCTTTTAAAAAATAAATTAAATTAAGAAAAATAAAAAAAATCGTAAATAAGAATATACCTTACTCATACAGGTTACTACAAGTTCATGATGTGTTTTCATATTCAGAATTAATTGTAGAATACACTTGGTATCTACAGTGTTAACAAAATTGTCTCTATATAACCTACTAAACAATAATTCACGAACTGATCGCATATTCGATTTATAAACTCGTTTTTTATGTAACCCACAGCTGAAAGACTCTTTCAACGCTTGTCGTACAACCATAAAATCAATACAAATTAAGGGTAGCTTGAAATTAGTTTATTAATTGTTAGGATTTGAAAATAATTAGAGATAGGGAATGACATTTTACTATTACACAATGTTCAAAATCGAACAACAAATGAGTTGTAGCTTAATGAAAGTTATGTTTATTAATAATAGTAGTGTTCTAGATTTGATTACCCAACCTACCACTTATATTCCCATACACAAATTAAAAAAATGACAGTAGGATAATCATTTTTTCAATTGCAGGGGTGTCCCTCACTGTCAATTATAATTTTTTTGTCCGTACGTAAATTACCACCGAATGTTGGATAATCCTTTTCGCAAATTTTAGGGATACCCCTAAACCCCCTTGGGTCCGCCCCTGGTTGCATGTTGATGTAAAGATATGTTGAGTTGCATTAATTTGAATCAAGTTTGCTTGGGATATACAACCTGGCTAGCTCTATTGGATTATACTTTACAGTGGAAGTGTGTAATAAGTCGCGAGTAATTCAACTTTGATAAATAACATGGCTAGCTCCATTGGTCATCCCAAGCCGAGGACAACAAAAATCGCACTGCATCATAGTCTAGATTAGTTTGACCTGTGACCATATGATAAATTTAGCTTTATTATATAATAATAATGATTGTTTTAGGTTAAATTGGCCACCCTCAACCTAGCCCTTCGTCACTTTCTATCTCACTTTTTTGTAAGCTTTCCTTCATCGTCGTCTCACCTCTACAATTTGTTTATCTTCAAAGTTTCCCCTTCTAATACACAGTATCCAATCTCTCTCCCTCTCCCTCTCCCTCTCCCTCTTTAAAAACAAAGAAATCATGGTTGCAAGAATGACAACAGAAAAGCTATAGCCAGCTTTTGGTGGGGACAGCAGAAGGAAGAAAGGAGAATCCCTTACAGAGCTTGGCATAAACTCTGTAAGCCAAAGAGGGAAGAAGGAATGGGGTTTAGGAACTTGAAAACTTTCAACATAACACTACTAGGGAAGCAAATATGGAATCTCATTAACAATCCAGAATTCCTAGTGGCTAGAATGCTGAAAGCGAAGTACTACCCAAATTCTAACATTCTACAGGCAAGACTAGGTTCCAATCCTAGTTATACTTGGAGAAGCATTATGGCTGCCCAACAAGTTGTGAAGGATGGAATTCGATGGAGAGTTGGTAATGGCTCGACCATTAACATCTACTCAGACAAATGGGTGGCGGGTGCAGAGGAGACTGAGTTTCGGGTGACAACGCCTAAGCCTAACACTGGGGGGCTTAACTAGAGTCATTGCTAATTGACCACGAGCAAAGAAGCTGGAGAACCAATATGTTGCAGGTCCACTTAAATGAGGTAGACAAAGCGAATATACTTGCCATCCCTATTCCGAGGCAACCAACTGAGGACACCCTAGTCTAGAGTGCAGAGAGAAGGGGCTGCTACACAGTCAAATCCGCATACAAACAACAGATGGAGAAAGCTCATACGAGACAAGATGCAAATGTCGTCATGGAAGCAGTGGAAGGTAATGACACAGAGGAATCTACGATCCTATGGACCGGGCAAGACTCTAGAAGCTAACGATCCCGCTTAAGGTTAAAATCTTTCTATGGAGACTGGCTCATGAGATTCTTCCAACTGGAAAAAACATTGAGAGAAGAAAGGAAGAGGCAGCAACAGAGTGCCCTTTCTGCTTCCTAGAAGAAACCCAGAATCCCATCTTTAGGGAATGTCAGTGGGCAATTCGAATTTGGAAAGATTCAATGTCCAGATCCCTATTTGAGATAGAACCTAACCTATCATCTGAAAGCTGGCTCTGTGCGGTTATGGATCAAGCTGAAGATGAGATTGTGGAGAAATTAGTCATACTACTGTGGTCGATTTGGAATGAGAGGAATAACCACATGTTCAACAATTAAAAAGCAGAAGAATGGGAGATTGTGGGGCGTGCCTTAGCTTACTGGGAGGAATTCAAATTGCATCACACCATGGAAAAGGAAGAGGGTGTAGGGAGAAAGGATACTTGGGAGAAACCGCAGGAAGGTTGGGTGAAGCTGAATGTGGATGCGGCTGTGCTGGCGGAGGAAGGGACTGGCTTGTGAGTGGTAGCCAGAGACGTGAATGGTCAGTTCCTCCTAGCAGCGGTGCGTCGAGAACAGATCCAATGGGCGCCAAATTTAGCTGAACTACGAGTGATTGCCTTTGGCTTGGAAATGGCTGAGGAGCACAATTTTCAGATGGTGGAGGTGGAAAGCGACTGTCTCATCGCCATTCAACAGATCCAGGCGGAGGAAATGACGAGACTGGAGGATGGGGTGATTGCCCGAGAAATCAAAGATCGAGCGACGAGTCTTGGATCGGTTCGATCGAGATTCATCAAACGAACCGAAAACGAACCGACCCATGCCATGACCCATCTAACTTGTAATTGGGACATCACAGAACTCTGGGCCCAAAGGCCCTCTTTGTCTATCCTTTCTTTTCTTGAGAAGGATGGTTTAAGATTTGAATAAAATCCAGGTTTCTATAAAAAAAACTGAAAGCAATTTGATCATTTGGGAATAAGTGCCTTTTGTTTTCCTTCTAACCAAGCCAACCTCCCTCAAAACAATGACGTGGGGTTCAGGGTCAGGAACAGGGTCAAGAACCAGCCAATCCGATCAGACATTCCAGTTTTCTCGATTTTGAGCGACTTTGACCGGCTCCCGACCACTTTGAAAACCGGCTGTCTAGGGCCATTTATGTGCCCGGCTCTGATCAAACCTGGTGAACTGACCGGTCAGATTTGGGTTTGACAACCATTAGGATAACTCAATGAGCCGCCGTTTATGCGGCGTTGTAGAGATTATACTCGGCTCACTCCACTCTCATGAAGAGAGTTCTTTATCACACTCTCTGTTCTACTCGTCTCCGTTGGCCCTTTTTATCCTCAACTCAACCGCTCGTCAATCGATCCCGCTCTAATTTTCAGTTCCAATTCTTCCCCCCCTCCCAGATCTGGAATTTCCCCTTTTCTATCTCGCTCACCAATTCCCAATCCCTAATCTCTCCCTCAGAGGTCCTCTGCATCTCGCAACTCAAACATTCCTCGCCGAACACAAACACTTATGCTGCCGGAGATTCGAAATTCCGCTTTTCTCCGTAATATTCAAAACCCCTAAGTTTCTGTTAAGGTTTTGCTTCTTGTTCTTCTACTTCCCGAAGTTCTCCTTCCTCCTACGAACTTACTCTGCTTGTCTGATTCGGAGCTGTGAACCATGGCGAGCGAAACCCTAGAGGAGAAAAAACCGGAGGAGGAAGCTCCAGTTGAGAGCAAAGAGGATTCCGGGCCTGAAGTGTGCAAAGAGAAAGTCGGTGAAGAGATGAAAGACAAGCAGGAAGAGGAAACCGATGCGCTGAAGGAGAAGCCCAAGGAAGCAGACGAGAAGATGGAAGAGAGCGTAAAGACTGAAGGGGAGGAACACAAGGCAAACGATAAGGAGGATGAGGAGAAGCAAGAAGATAAGGAGGAGAAAGAGAACGAGGAAGAACAGAATTCTGAAGTTGCCCCTGAAAAAGTTGACAATGAGGATGAGCCAGCAGAGGAAGATGATGGTGGAGACATAAAGGAGGAGGCGGAAGAAGAGCAAGATAAGTATGATGGAGATGCCGTAGATGTTAAGGAAGAGGAGGAAGCAGGGAGTAAGAAAAGTCAACGAGGTGCTGCAAATATAGGTGAAGAGAAGACTCCTGATCCTGAAGCCACCGAGGAGAACCAGAGTAAGGAATCCGATGACAAGAAAGAAGAAATTCCTGAACAAGGAAGGTCTTCTGCAAGCCAGCCGTTGTCCACTGAGAAGGTGCTATCCCATTCTGCTAATCCTTTTGAGGTGTTCATTAATTTCTTTGTTTGTCTGATTATTGATCAAGTGTTGCTCTTTGTGCAATGCAGGACCGGGTGACACATCCGAAGGATATTACTAATGGTAAGTTTTTCCAAACCTCTGCGATGGATGTACATTTATGATTGCCATCTACCATTTATTGTGGTCTCAATTAGTTGGATTTTCTAATTGATAGATATGTCAATCTACTGAAATTTTCGTGATGGTATACTATGAAAAACGTTCCTTCGTAGTCAGAATATGCTGATAGATTGACTTACCTGTATTTGCACCGGAATTGATTAAATGCTTCATATTATCCTGTTAGAAAATTCATACTTTTGAGAGTTTTGCACCCTTATAATAGGTCTTTCTCCAATATCTTCAAGGCAATATCTGGTTGGTGATGGTTCCTACACACTTACTGCTTCCTAAATCATGACCACGTTCCTGTCTTCTCTATCCCTCTTACTTCCTAACTATGAAAGACTCAGAATTGAAGTTATCGTAGAATAGCATAGAGAAAATAGTGTCTACGCATATTCATTGTAAACAAAGAGCTAGTCTTCACTTTCCTAAGTAGTTTTATTAGCATGTAGTCGAGGGCGGGGTCAAAAAGTGAATAGTTGAAACGAAAAGTCTGCTGCTGTCGAGATGCATTTTGCTAAAACATTGATGGTTCTAACACACTTACTAAGTTACTACTTCCATTGAACATGACTGGTTTTTCAAGGTACCAGTTGGACTTGTAGCATAACATTTAAGGTACAACCAGTTTGTACCATAAAAGAAGTTGTACCTTCATGTTATGGTACAAGTTCAGTTTGTACAAAAAGTTATAAGTACAAACTGAATTTGTACCATAATGTTAAAGGTACACATTCAGTTTGTACCATAAAGGCAAAAAATCAAAGCACCGATGCTATAAAACATTGTAAAAATCCTCATTTATCATAACCAAAGAACAAGTGTTCACTTGTCCCTCGAGAATAAAAGATAGCTATTGCTCACTCTCCTAAAGAATTTTCTTAGCGTATAGCTGAGGGTGGGGACAAAAAGTGAAAGCATTTTGCCTTATTTTTTTAACCCTGGCCATTGGTCTTTCTCCCTATCTATATCCCATCCTAATTTCCAGTTCTAATTCCCCCCTCCCAAGTCTGAAATCTTTCCTTTTCTATCTCGCATCACAATTTGCAATCCCTAATCTGTCCAAAGTTCCTCTGTATCTCGCAACTCAAACATTCCCTGAAGGAGATCCACCACAAAAACACTTTGATATGGAAGGGCCAAAGTTCCTCTTTTTTTTAGTTTTCTTTTAGGGTTGTTGTTCTTTTTATTTCCTGAAATTTCTCCTTCTCTTACCAAGTTACTCTGCTCGTTTGATTCAGACATGTGCTCCATGGCAAGCGAAATCCTAGAGGATAAAACGCCAGAAGAGGAATCCCCAGTAGAGGGCAAAGTGGATCCTGAGCCCAAATCGGTGGAACAGAAAGCTGATGAGGAGATGAAAGACATACAGGAAGAGGAGGACAGGGAAATGATAGAGAAGCCAGTTGAAGTGGGTGAGAACATGGGAGACCATCAAGAGGAAGAAAGTTTAAAGAATGAAGACGAGAAACATAAGGAAAACAATGAGGACGGCGAAAAGCAAGAAGAGAAAGAGGAGCAGCCGATTCAAGAGAACAATGAGGAACAGAGTTCTGAAGTTCCTCCTGTAATAGTTGACAAAGGAAATGAGAACGAGCCAGCAGAGGAAGATATGGGAGGGAAAAAGGAGGTTGAAGTAGAACAAGATGAGGATGTTGAGGATGTTGAGGAAGAAGATGATGGAGAGGAAGAAGCTGAGAGTAAGAAAAGTAAGCGAGGTGCTTCCGTGAGTTCTACAAATAAATTTGACAAGAAGGCTCTTGAAGCCACCCAGGATAAGCAGAAGAGTAAGGAATCCATTGACAAGAAAGAAGCTGTGACCCCAAGCAGTGACAGGCCAACCAGAGAGCGGAAGACGGTGGAGAGATACTCTATTCCTCAACGAGGGAGGTCTTCTGCAAGCAAGCCATTGTCTAGTGGCAAGGTGCAACCCCATTCTGCCCTCCAATTCTTGGGGTCTTCATCAATTTCCGACTTCACGTGATGTTCTGATCAAGTGCTGTTCTTTGTACTATGCAGGGCCGGGGGACACCTCTGAAGGATATTCCTAATGGTAAGTGTTGGTGGGAAATTGTATGTTTGTTAGTTTGTCGATTGTTTGAACAACTCTCAAGTGAGCGAGATCCATATTCTTATACCCTGCTAATCATTTGTGAAATTCTTGGTGTAAATTTTATGGAATCATTGTCAGTTGCATCTGTCTTGGGATACTGGGTCTTCTTCTTCTTCTTCTTCTTCTCGTAGATGTCTATTGGTCCCTGTAATATGCATTTGTGATTGCCAGGTGCCATTTCTTGTGTTCTTAATTAGTTTATTTGCAAATTGATAAACATGTACATCTTCGTTGCCGTGGTTAATTAGGAAATAGGTTACGTTTGTAGTTTGAATATGCTGATAGATTAATTTACCTGTAGATGCACCAGAATTAAATTGTCCATTGATGTTCTAGGAAAAATCTGGATGTTGATGGTTCAGCGCCCACACCCACCCCCCTCCAAAAATAAAAATAAAAACACAGGCCTACGTATTTTGGTATTTAGGCAGAACAGGAAACTCATTGGCCTTACATTTTTCGTTTCTTGAACTTGGTCCCTCGCTAGTCTGATAGGCGTGGTTGAGTGCTCTATTTAGGTCAGTGGTTAGCTGTTAAGGGTCCAATGTACATGTGGGTGTCAGTCTTCAAATAGAAGAGAAGTCTGATGAGTTTTTTTTTTTGTTCTCCATGAAGTACATATATTATCATTTTGCTCTGATTTCCGTTGTATGTCTCTGCAATCATGTATTCCTCAGATTTTGAAATGTTAAGTTCATTCCCAAATGAAACCTATGGCGAACTAGACTTCCATTACTTTTTTTTTTGTATGCAGAATACTGTACTTTTTCGGCTTAATTTTTGTTCGTTATTTATTGGGTAATAATATTACAGTTTATCAAACTCTGTTTCTAGAGCAGATTAGGCTTTTTTTTTCTTGTCTGATATTTTGCACTGTTTCAGTGGCGTTCAAGTTGTCCAAGAGAAAAGCTGACGAGACTCTGCAGATCCTTCACACTTTACTTTTTGGAAAGAAAGGAAAGGTGTGGCTGGTTTTAGTACTTTGACCTCCTGGTTCTCATGTCTTGTTTTCTTAGTAGGATTGCCTGCTATCTATTACTGTGGTGTTAACATTGTATTTTTTCCATGTTTCTCAAGGTGCAAAGTGTGAAGAGAAATATCGGTCAGTTTTCTGGCTTTGTGTGGACTGGGAATGAGGTGTGCCATCTGTTAAGTTTTACGTTTAACTAAATGAATTTGTCTGATGGAAAGCTCTTTATGCAAAGTCTTGTCTGAAGCTTGATATTGATTCTGGTTGATGATTTCTTGCCCTCGTAATAGAAAAAACAGAAGTCAAAATTGAAGGAAAAGCTGGACAAGTGTGTAAAAGAAAAGCTCATAGATTTCTGTGACGTGCTCAATATTCAAGTAACTAGAGCTACAGTGAAGGTCAGTTGTAACTGGTAACGTTATTGTTTTCTAGTGGGGATATATGAATTCATTGCTTAATTGGACAATGTTTTTAGGAAGAACTCACTGTAAAAATCTTGGACTTCTTGGAATCGCCTCATGCTACAACTGATGCTTTGCTTGCTGATAAGGAACAGGTATCCCTTTCCTGCGTTCATCTGTCTGCCATTTTAGTTTTTACCTAGTTTCGGTTTTGTTTCTTCTGGTAATATTCAATCCTATGTTCTGCTCCAGAAAGGTAAGAAGCGAAGGTCAATAACTGGGAAGAATTCAAGCCCTGATGAAGCATCAGTTACACAAGCTAAGGTTAGTTTGTCTGCTATTAATGGGAAACTTAGTATGCTATAACTGTTAAGGGTTTCATTTTTTGCAGTAATGAGCAATCTTGGTACTACATTCTGGTAGTAGCTGTAAATATTTCCCAATTACAACTACTAAAACCAGTTATGTCTTTCAATTTATCTTGTAGAGGCAAAAACAGTCATCCCAGGCCGAGGAAGATAAAAAACGCTCTCCCAAAGATGAGGAAGAAGATGAGGATGATGATGAAGATGAATCTGCAGATGCTCGTGAGGACTCTCAAGGTGATGACGCTGGCAATGAGACTCTGCTCAAAGATGAGAGTGACCAGGATGAGGATAACTCGGATGAATATGAACCAAAAAAAGAAACACCAACTCAAAAGTCTTCATCTAGAAAACGTGTAAAGGATACCTCAAAACCCAGGGAGAAAACTACACCTGTCAAAAGCAGCATCCCTACAAAAAGTGCATCGAGGTCTAAGAAGTCATCCACTCCCTCAGCTAAACCAAGTGCAGACACTGATAAGGGTTCTGGTTCGGTTTCTAAATCCAAGGGATCTACATCTAGGAAACGCAAGGCTGAAGTAGAAGATGTTTCAAGAAAGGAAAATAGCATGAAAAAGCAGACAGGCAAGTCAATGTCAAAAGCTCCTGCAAAAGGTAAAGTTGGGTTTCATAAGTATGCACGGGTTTCGCAATATGATTTTTTTGAGCAGTGAATTGTTATGGGAAGAGAAAATGAAATGCTGTTCTTGCTTTTCGGTCTCTTTATTCATAGTTTGTGCTTACCTGGTTATTTTTTCCCGGCTTGAAAAATCGGGAAAGCAAAATCTAGCAAGCTTCTGAATAGAGGAAACGAACTGCTATTGTCTCTGCTTTTAAAGTTTTTGCTTACCTTTTTCACCTGCTCGGAACTTAGCAGAAGGAAAGTCTCGCAAGAAGGCCAAGGCTGAACCCACTAGAGATGAGTTGCATGCAGTTATTGTTGATATTCTGAAAGAAGTTGATTTCAATACAGTGAGTAGTCGGTGCAACCTAGTATTCCATTTACTCATTGGTATTGCCCAGCATTTCATTGTTGCCTAAAACCTTTCTTCTGCTATGAACGTGCAGGCAACTTTTACTGATATTTTCAAGCAACTTGGTATAACTTCCTTGTTCCTATATCTGGCTCTTCTGTCATTCTATTTCTAGTCTATTTCTATATCTTGATCTCTCTCTAACCATTGAGGTTTTTTTTGTGGCTTCACCAGGTAAACACTTCGGTATAGATCTAATGGACAGAAAAGCTGAGGTGAAGGATGTCGTAACTGAAGTTATAAAAAAGATGGCTGACGAGGAAGATGAAGACGATGAGAATGCCGAAGCTGGTGGGGATGCAGACAAAGATAGTGAAAGTGATGATTAGTTAGGGCTGATACAAGAGCTTCTCTCAAGACGAAGGGCATCAAACGGTGCTTATTTATAAACAGAAGAAGTGATGGTAAAAACCTCGGCAGTAAACAGAATCGAAATAGCCAACTAGGGTTTGTTTGTACCATTATATCCTCCTAATCTGTTGCTTGTTTCTGGAAAACAAGTGGTGTTGAGCTGACACTGAATGGATAGTTGTTCTGTTTGACCAGCTCTCCCTACTTCGTTAGTCGTTACTGGTAGTTTAATTGCCTTTTCAGTTAGATGTATTGGTTGACCGTCTCTGCCACAGCAAATGAGTAGTTAATCTATTTGTGTAAAGTCGATGTGGAGCTGGAACAAAATAGTAAATGTTAACTTATTTGCTTAGGTAGTCGTTTAGTTGTGTAGCTTTCTGTAACATGGAAGTTGGAACCTCTTCTTTCGTTGGATATCCGTAGACTTAATTGATCACCTGTTTCACTTTTTTGACCATGCCGCTACTTTCATTTTTAAATTTCGTCAAGCTTGTCATCATACCATATGTCAAGCTTGTCATCATACCATATGCAGTATGTCGAAGGATCTCCTCAATATCATTGCGGTAAGCCTCTTGGTACTTTGCAAACAACCTCTTTTTTTTGGTTGGATTCTTAATAGTCTTCACAAATGTGGCCCGTTCATGATAAATTTTATTAGCCAAGTAATAACATTGATCATATATTTTACCATTGACCTCAAAATTGACATTGGGAACTAGTCATCGTACTGCTTGATCATAAAGTGGGGATGCTACTAGTGTATTGATGTCATTCTTCGATCCAGATGTTCCAGAGAAGGCATGTCAAATCCATGTGTCATATGATGCTATAGCTTTGAGGACAATGGTTGATATCTTCTTGTGCCTAGTGTATTGGCCTGCGCTCTCAGTCGAACAGTCTTCTAGTGAGAGCGGATCCCATGACTAGGGGGGGGGGGGGGGTCCTTAGTCACTTGACTAAGCCCCTCCTAGCCATTAGATCTGGACACTTCAAAGTATACAAACTGGATTTACAATCAGTACAAACCATACAAACATACGAACAGTACAAACTAGAGCGACAAAACATACAAACATTACAAACGTGTGAATTGTACAAACAATACAAACTAGACTGACAAACAATACAAACCATACAAAAAGAAAAAACACCCGGGTTGACTTTGGAGGCTCCATCCCTATATAGAGGGGCTCCTTCCCAAAGTCAACCCGGGTGTTTTTTAGACATACAAACAGTACGAACATGGTGGACAAAAATGACAAACTATACCGACAATCCATACGAACTGAAAAAACACCCGCGTTGACTTTGGAGGCTCCATCCCTATATAGAGGGGCTCCTTCCCAAAGTCAACCCGGGTGTTTTTTATACATAAAAAACATTACAAACATGGTTGACAAAAATGATAAACACGGTACACAAAAATAACAAAGTTTACAAACATTACAAAAAAAAACCGACAAACATTACTAAATAACAAAGCGTACAAACATTACAAAAAAACCCGACAAACATTACAAAATAACAAAGCGTACAAACATTACAAAATAAACCGACAAACAATACAAAGCATACTAACAGTACAAAATCTCTCTCTCTCTCTCTCTGGACTGGGAATAATGGCGCCGAGGGGGATGGGAATAATGGTGGCGCCCATTCTTTAAATTTCTGGAGGCGGCGTGCGGCGAGGCTGCGCGGGGAGGAAGCCGTTTTTTTTTATTTCTTTTATAATTAAAAATTAAAAATAAACATGGAATTACTACATTACCCTTCATTAAATTGGACTAATAGGAGCCCTTGGATTTTAATGAGGTAGAGTGGCTGAGATTCACTTAGCCATGTGACTAAGGGGACCCCCCTTAGTCACCTGATCCTAGCCCGTCTTCTAGTGTATGTCGTTTAGGGGTGGGCATCCAGTTCGGTAAATTCGAACCGAACCGAGCCGAATCGAATTCAAACCGAACCAAAATCGAAATAATCTTATTCGGTTCGGAATTCGGAAGAGGAATACGAATAATTCGGAAACCAGGGTCTTATCGACCGAAAGAATTTTCGAATCCCGAAGTGACAAACCGAATAACTACTCTACCCACAAATATCAGTCTTCACCCATAGGCCCAAAACTCTTCCTCTCTCCTCTCACCCCTCAGCCCGCCTGTCCCTAAACTTCAACCCATATCTAACCCTAAAAGCCCAGCTAAGCTTCCAAACCTAAGCCCAAACCTCTTCCCCTCACACTCACAACCCACCCAAAAGCTCCTAATCATATTTGCTAACCTAAAAGAAGAAACAGAGGAAACCCCTCGTCCCCTCCCCTTCCTCCTTGGTGGCTCCGCCTCCTCCCAACTCACACCAACGGAGCGACGACGGAGTGAAGCCCACCCCTATCACCTCCACTCTGCATCTTTCGATCTCTGCTTCTCTCAAATCACCAACAGAGTGATTTATGCTTCTCTTCTAGCAAACAAGGCCAAACCAATCCTCCTCCCCTCTTTTTGTCAACAGAAACGAGCAAGAGAAAGTTAAGAACTACTCCGACCTCCACATGCAGGTGGCGGGGAGGGGAAGGGTCGCGGTGGGAGAGGGCGACCCGGCGGCGGAGGAAGCTGATTGCAACCCGACGGCGGAGAGAGTGGAGTTTGGTCGGCGACTGAAGGAGCGGAGTTGTGCGACGGCGATGTTGGTGCTTCCTCTACGGAGGCGGTTTCTCATGGCGGCGTTGCTTCGTGGTTGTTGCTGCTATCGGAGAGGGGAGAAGGAAAAGAAGGAGGTGAGATTCGGCTATCGCCGGTCGCGGCAGCTGGGTTGTGCTCGCCGTCGCCGGTCGCCGCCTCGTTAGTTGATTGGAGGGAGAGAGGGGAAGAGAGGGGAAGGGAGTATTTGTCTATTTGAGGTTAGGGAGAAGAGAGAAGAAAGGGTAAAAAAAGCCCCATCCGTTTTTCCCAGCAGCAAGAGCCAAAACACAGGAGCCAGAAGGCAAAATGCACATAGCTGGCAATTTCGGTTTTGTGGGGGAAAACCGAGCCGAATCGAGTTATATTTCGGTTCGGCCAAACCGAGCCAAAATATAATTCGGTTCGAATTCGGTTTGTCTTGCGGCTGGGATTAGGACCCCGGTAGTTGTCTGTTCGGTTCGGTTTGAATCGAATCGACCGAATGCCCACCCCTAATGTCGTCAATAGAACAAATCATGCCCGGGAAGCCACATTGTGTAGCATGATCAAGGAGGCAACGAGTATCTTCCACTGTTGATGCACGCAAGTACTAAGCACCATAAATGTTGATGTAGCTGATTGCAACCCGACGGCGGAGAGAGTGGAGTTTGGTCGGCGATTGATGGACTGGAGTTGTGCGATGGTGATGTTGATGCTTCCTCTACGACGTTGCTTTCTCATGGCGGCGTTGCTTCGTGGTTGATGCTGCTATCGGAGAGGGGAGAAGGAAGAGAAGGAGGTGGGATTGGGCTATCGCCGACCGCGACAGCTGGGTTGTTCTCGCCGTCGCCGCCGCCTCGTTAGTTGATTGGAGGGAGAGAGGGGAAGAGAGAGGGGAAGGGAGTATTTGTCTATTTGAGGTTAGGGAGAAGAGAGAAGATAGGGTAATAAAAAGCCCCATCCGTTTTTCCCAGCAACAAGAGCCAAAACACAGGAGCCAGAAGGCAAAACACACATAGCTGGCAATTTCGGTTTTGTGGGGGAAAACCGAGCCGAACCGAGTTATATTTCGGTTTGGCCAAACCGAGTCAAAATATAATTAGGTTCGAATTCGGTTTGTCTTGCGGCTGGGATTAGGACCCCGGTAGTTGTCTGTTCGGTTCGGTTTGAATCGAACCGACCAAATGTCCACCCCTAATGTCGTCAATAGAACAAATCATGCCCGGGAAGCCACATTGTACAACATGATCAAGGAGGCAACGAGTATCTTCCACTGTTGATGCACACAAGTACTAAGCACCATAAATGTTGATGTAGCCGAGTAGAAATTACTCAGAAACTCCAATACAATGCTTTCAACCATTAGACAAGTCTCATCAAAAAAGTCTAATGACTCGCGACCTATTACACAATCCCAAACAAAGGCCAAATACAACCTATTATCGGTTGTAGTATGGAGCAAATATATTTCAATTATCAAACCCGAGCGATTTAACCATCCTTACCTAAGAAAACTACAAATTATCTAGCAGTAGAAATGTTACCTATTAAACTAAACAAACAAGTAAAATGTGGTTGAATTCAAGTGAGAATGCTTCACTAGGATGATTATCCCGCTATTCCCGTGTGGAGATGATTGATCTCCTAATTCTAAGTGCGACTACTTAAGGCAAGTGTACCTGTTGTAGAGGTAATATAGTGGCAAACAAGATTGTATTCCATGGAGACTATGACTACTAGTGCTAATTTATATTTCTATTAATTAAACGATCTCTTTTTAGTTTCTTTCAATGGACTAAACTGACGAAGAAGACAATAAACTTCTGCGAAGACAAGAACGTGGTCACGACACAAATTCAAGCAAAGATAGGCGTTGTTCAGACTTCGAGTCTCCCTAGTTGATTTCGACCTTTCAGCTGACCATGCATAGACTTGATGTGAGATTCTTTGACCATAGGAATTCCCGAATTGGTGTTAACCCGATATTATCATGTATTAACACACTATTAGTCAATTCAATGTAAGTATGATATTCTCTTTGTCCTAGATTGATTCTCCTAACGATTATTTCTCTATGAATGCCACTATTAGGTTTTACCCTAATCCAGAAGTCTCTCTCCCTCAATATTCTAGTAAGAAGAGGTCATTTTCATTTATGTGTGTTCTAACGCATCTATGAGGATATTTTCCTCAACATACGCACGAACATGCAATCATGCAATATGCGCGCAACTTAAGCAAACCCGAAACATAATCCATAGATAAATCAAAGATCATAAACATCCAAATCCATGCATTTTCCTTTAAATTAGTATCATACAACTAGGGTTCATCTAATCCAAACAACAAGGTAGGACTAGTTCATGGCTAATGGAAAAACAAACAAAGAATAGAAAGAAGAAACGATTTCCATCATGGCGACTTGATCAGGTGCTCCAAGCTGAATCCTTTGTGGTAGGATGGATGGGTAACCTCCTTTCCTCCTCTCTAACTCATTCTTGTTCAATTTTAGGGTTTTTTGCTGAACTCCTCTCTTCAATCCGATTAGAGACGCTTAAATAAATAAGGCATAGGGTCGTTCACGGGTGCGGTCACAACAGTGGGGCCACCCGTGAACTAAACCCTATCCCAATAGTTAAATGATCCGGTGTCTCTTTGGGGTCGTCTTGAAGATTTCTTCACGGCCCGGGTCATAGCTGTGGGCATAGTCGTGAATTGCTCGGAATGAATTTCTTCTTCCTCCTCAACTCCTTTTCCTGCATATCCACGATCTGAACTGGGACCTCCGCATACGTGAAATCATCCTCCAATTTGATTTCCTCATGCCTAATCACATGCTCAGGGTTAGATCGATACGCCCTTAGCATGCTGATGTGGAAAACATCGCAAATCCTAGATAGGCTGAGAGGTAAAGTTAGCATGCTGATGTGGAAAACATCGCAATTCCTCCTTAGTCGTTGATGTAAGTGGTATCCACAGATTCATCGAATTTGAGCATGAACTTCCCTTTAGTGTCTTTCTCCTTGCCTTCCTAGGAAAGAGCGACGCAGAGCCCGTATTCGGGGATGATTTTGTCCTTGGGAATGTCGACATAGGCCTCACATTCGACCTTCTCGATGTTCTTGGTACGGATGAAGAAGTTTCCTTTGTTGGAGAGGAGGTCGAGGTTAGCGAGGAGATTGGAGAGGAGGTTGCGGGACCATTTGAGGCATTGGTAGGAGCTCGTCAAAAGTTGTGAATTGAGAGTTCAACTGGGAATTTGCAGGGAAAGAGCGTCAATGGAGGCGGAGATGGTAAAAATTAGGAAGACAAACTGAGGATTAGAGAGTGCAAGCTAAATGGACGAATTGGGTGACCGAATCCAACCTTTCGCCTTCTGTCATTTTTTGACAGAGATGAAGTTTAATTTAATTCCTTTCTTCTACTGCCCCTAGCTCGACGACTCTCCCGTCTTCCTGGAGTTGCTCGATGAAAATGACCCTTTCCAGCAGCAATAACTCCTGCTTCTTCCAATTTGCAATCAACTTCTTCCAATCCCCTCCTCCACCGCCTTCTCCATTTCCAACTTCTTCTTGTTTTCGTCTGAATACAAGTAGATCAGTAGTGGCGCTTCTGCCAAGTTCTTCATGATTTCCTTCACCGAGTCCCTTTCACTCGTCTAACTTCTGGGCAACAATCCCTTTGTCTCGATCGCCTCCATCTTCTTCCGCCGTGCTGCTCAATAAAGCAAAACTATTCTCCTCAAGCGCCTCCACCGTCGATGTACCGCCCCTAGAGAACCTCGCCTCCTCTTATAATATTTCTACCTCCATAGCAGCTTCCCCCTTCCGTCGTATCATCGAGGGAGACAAAGTGGGAAGCAGGGAGAGTACTAGGGACGAATGTTTAGTTTGTTCATTTTTCAGAAAATAAAAATTGTTTGGTAAAATGATATAATATCAATGTGGCGTAGTCAAACGTTTGATTTCATACCACATCATAAAAAACCATATATCTCATTTAATATTTTTCCATGTCATAGACAACTAACGGTTGATCGGATGGAAATTTAACGGTTTGGATAGTAAATTATTTTTAAAAAGGTTTGACTATTATTTTGTTTAAAATGAAAGGTTTGACTAATATATAATATTTACCCTATATAAAAGTAGAAGTAATTTTGAAGAGCATAATTAATTTAATTTTTCTTTTTTCTTTATTTTGACATGAAACAAAAAAAAAGTCTATTAAAATATATTAAGAAAGAAGTTAGTAACCTTCCATATAGAATAAATGTAGATTGTGGATGGTTGTTCACCCAACTTTCCCATTTAGCCGGGTCTGGATCAGGTCAGTAACCTTAGGGTCTGTAACTATGCTTGTTAGTCGGTGCGGTTAACCGCAGCCGAAAGCGTCGCTGAAACTGCAACCGTAACCGCAACCGAAGATAGATTCGGTTAACCGCTAACCGCGACCAACAATTTTAGTTTGTCTCTGTGGTTAGCTGAGACCGTTGCTCTTGCTGTCGAGGGCGGAAGTTCTGGGAGCCGCGAATAGTTCTGGGAGGGAGGACAACGACGAGTTTTGGGATGGAGGACGGCGGCTGTGACGACGAATTTTGGCCTTCTGGGAGAGAGAGCAAGGAGGTGCGACGAGCTTGCTAGTCGCTATGATGGCGTGAGTTTGTGGACTAGATGACTACTACGACAACGGCGAAGAGGTGGCAGCAAGATGACTGACGAGGGCAGGCCGTAGGGGGTGAGGATGACAACGACAGGGTTGGGGAGGAAGCGACAAGTCTCTTCTGCGATTCAAGCTTCGTGATTTAGGTCGGGAAATGGGGGTGAGAATTATACTAATTTGATTTCGGCCGAATCCCCCCAAAACGACGCCGATGGTGGCTGTGTTGCGGTTGTGCGGTTAACTGCCACGATTGCGGTTATAACCCGCTAACCGCCACGGTTGGTTCAATCCCGATGACTGCAAACCGCAACCGCAAACCGCAACCTGGTAACGGTTTTTGGTGAACCATTAAACCGATGGTTTTGGTTCGTTTTTACGGTTAACCGAGTAACCGATGACCGATTAAAAGCCCTATCAGTAACAATGAGTAACCCGTATAAATCAACGTGAAATTAACATCCTCTCTTTTATAAAAAGTCTTTAATCTTTTCTCCTTTAATATTTATTGGACAATTTCTCTCTTGTTTTAAGTCGGGATTTAAATTTTTTTGCTCAGATAAATCAGATAAATTGTGTTGTTCAAAATGATATCCATTTTGATATATTTTTAGAACAAAAAAATTGAGACATTTTTTACGAGTCTATACCATATGGTATTGAGTGGTATTGAATAAGAGCATACCGTATGATATGAAAGCGTACCATGGTGGTATGAACATACCAAGACTGTAGGATGATTGAACACATGATAGCAGGAGTTTACTAACTATCATTTATGACTTTTTACATTGTGTACCCCAAGATACCATCCCCTATACCAGGGTGGTATAGTATGGTATTTTTTGGTCATGTATTTTTTCATCAGAAATTTTTAGATCCAATAGATCATGTTGAACTCACTCCTTCTGTGCAAATATTTTCACAAAAGATTTAAAAACGGGAAATACCATATGATATGGAGCTAGTAACAAGAGGTATGAAATCTTTTTACAAAAAATATTGAAAATTGATCTCATTTTATGGAGCACAACGAACTCGTTATATCTGTCAAAAAAATTGAAATATGAGTTTGTTAGAAAAAGATAAAACCAAATAAAAAACTAAGAAAAATAAAATGCTTTTAATTTTGAACCCTTAAATATGAATTTTCTAGGTCCACCTATAAAATAAGTTCCAAATTTACTAACTCCGAAAAATCCGCCCCGAACCTGCCCATTGTCATTCCTACTCCCAGCTATGCGACTCTAATCATATTATTAACCGGAAAAGTTTCCTTGTCATGTTAGGTGGTTGGAACACCTAATGGAAAATATTAAAAAATTGTATGGAAGAGATGATAAAATGAGATGAGAAAGAGAGATGAGATAATGAATGGTGAGTTATTGACTCTAAAAGATAAATTGAAAAATGGACTTTTAGAAGCACCCAAAGTAATACTAATTCAATAGATATCATCATAAATTCAGAAATTCACTTTATAAGAAAAAAATTAATAAAATGGCTACTGAAAACATTTCAATAAAACTAGAAAAATTGGGGAAAACAATGAATGAATATCAAGAAAAAATAATAAATATACTAGAAAGTAATGATAAACAACTAAGAACAATACTAGAATATCAATGTAATGAAAAACAAAAAGATATATATTCAGATTTAGAACTAGCTAAGGATACTATTACTAAGATTATAGTAGATATAAAACAACGAGAAGTGGCAATAGGAAACTCAACTTCAAATTCTAAAGAAATAGTCTTACCAGAAGAAGACCTTAAAGAAATCATTAGCAAACTTCAAGAGATAATAATCAAATTAGACAATAAAAGGTGCATTACAATTGAAGATATGGAAAAACATCTAGATAAACATAAATTAGGTAAATCAATTCCATTGACTATCACAGCACCTTACAAACTTCTATGACTAATTGACGAACAAATCAATAAATTAAATGATTTACTAGCCGCAATTACTATCGAATCTGAACCAGAGATAGAAGAAAATATCGAAAATGATAAAATAGTCCTTAACTATAGTAGCGACGAAAACCCCTATAAAAATTATACAAATACAAATTATACAAAAACTGAAACTGAGGATCAACCTGAAACATCACGAAAACGTGATTTCAATAACTATAAAGATGGTCAACTATTTTTTGATGAATACTTATACAAAAATTCGTATACACATCGCAAAGAGGGAGGATGGAGTAAATACCTCAATCTTACGTACCAAAATATTCCACCACCAGTTTTAACAGTCCCGACATTTTAGACCTTGATTGTTGCATCAATCCATCAAAAGAATTAGAAGACTGGAAAAATCGAACAGGTTTATTAATACAAACTAACGAAGATCTAAAAAAATTACAACCTAGCGAAATGTTTAATTTCTATAAAACAACTGGGGCAGTTTATCATTATCTCAACAACATGGATATTCCAGCTAGACACTATTATATGGAACAACAGATGCTACAAATACCTTTGAAAAAGTTTTAAATTCAATAACTTATGAATTCTTAGGACGACATCCTCGGGAAAATAAACCAAACACAACCATAAGTCAACAAGCTATTTGGCATTTAACTAACCTTAGAATCTGCAACATGTGCTTCTTAGAACCATTTATTTGTGAATTCAGAACACACTATTATCAAGTTACCCCTTCAATATGGAAAGACTTAGATAAATTATTTTATGCCAAATTACCATCTATTGTCTCTGAAAAAGTCGAAGCTATCTTTAATGAGTCTTTGTCAAAAGAAGAAATACCAGATACATTAGGAGGAAGAATATTAGTTCTACAAGAATGGCATAAAAGAGCTTGTAATGAAGAAAAATTAAAGAAACAATATAAAATTAAACTCTGTTGTGAAGAAACAATGGATAAAGTTGGAAAATATGGGTGTAATAACGATCGAAAGATTACTAAAACTCGTAAAAAATATAGAGATTATAGAAAATGGAGAAAAATACCTTATAAAGAATATAGAAAAAATAGGTTTAAAAAACCAAGTAAATATTTCAGAAATAGAAAACAATTTAAACAAAAAACAAAACAACAAGAATACTATCCTAAAGGAAAGACAAATTGTAGATGTTGGTTATGTAATGAAGAAGAACATTACGCAAATAAATGTCCTAAGAAAAATACTAATACTAGAAAGCAAGAAGTCCTTAGATTAGCATACGATTGTGGTTTTGAACCAATCGAAGAAACAGATTTTGAACTTTCTGATATAAAAATTATTGAATATATTTCAGACTCAGAGACCTCTTCAAATGAGTCAGAAGAAGGTACTAACTAAGGGAAATCCTAATGCAACATTTATTAAAATCGAAATAGAAAAGAAAAGCTTTTTAGCATACATTGATACAGGAGCAACCCTATGTTTTGCCAAAAAATCAACCATAAAAAAATGGGATAGACTTGAAAAACCTCTAAAAATTGTAGTAGCAGATAAATCTATTCATGAAATCTGGTATGTAAAACAATATGTACCGATAATCATTGAAAAACATTTCTTTACAGCCAAAACAATCTATCAACATGACTCAGGATTAGATATAATAATAGGAAATAACTTTCTAAAATTATATCAACCGTTCATCCAAAAGATTAAAACAATTAGCCTTAGATGTCCTAAAACAATAAACCAGGAATCTAAGATAATCACAACCATAATAATTCCAAAAAACGAAGTATTAAAAATTGTACTTCAAAACCTTAAAAATAGACTAGAATATGTACAAATTACCTATGGTATTATAGAGGAAACTTTAGACCAGGTGTGTAGTGAACATCTATTAGATAAAGATAAAAATAACAATCAGGAACTTATTGAAATTAAACTAAAAGATCCTAAAACGGAAGTTAATGTCCCGAACAAAATTCAATATACTCAACGAGATGTGGAAGAATTCCAAAAGAATGTTCAGAATTAGTATAAAAGGGTATAATACGAGAAAGCAAAAGCCCTCATAGTGCACCAGCCTTCTATGCAGAAAATAATAATGAAATCAAAAGAGGAAAAAGAAGAATGGTAATAAACTATAAAAAGCTAAACGAACAAACAATAGGAGAAAGCTATAAATTACCTAGAAAAGACTATATACTAGAAAGATTAAAAGGTCAGACTTGGTTTAGTAGTTTAGATGCTAAATCAGGATATTGGCAACTTCGTCTACATGAGAATACCAAACCTTTAACAGTCTTTTCATGTCCACCACAAAAACATTACGAATGGAATGTTCTCCCATTTGGAATGAAACAAGCACCAGCTATTTACCAACGGTTTATGGATCATGTCTTAGACGGTTTTCAATCGTTTTGTTTAGCATACATCGATGATATCATAATTTTTACTAACCAATTGGAGGAAGATCATAGCAAAAAAGTCTTAATAGTTTTACAAAGAATAAAATAAAAAGGTCTAATTATTTCTAAGAAAAAATCAAAACTTTTTCAAAAAGAAATTGAATACCTTGGTATGAAGATTAATACTTTCAGCGAAATTGAGTTGTCAACAAATACAAAAGAAAAGATTGATAAATTTCCTAACCAACTTGAAAATAGAAAACAAATTCAACGTTTTCTTAGATGTTTAAATTATATTAGTGAATAAGGATTTTTAAAAAATTTACCAAAAGAAAGAAAACATTTACAGAAAAAGATTTCCGACAAAATCCCTTGGTCATGGAATAATCAAGATACAAAAATAGTTTTATTAATGAAGGAAAAATGTCAGCATTTACAAAAATTATATAACCCATGTGAAAACGATTTTCTAATAATTCAAACGGACGCCTCTAAAGACACTTGGGCAGGGTGCATGTTAGCAATACAAAATGGCAAGTAATTATTGCAAATGGACAATTTTGGAAATGTCAAAATTGAAAATAACGAGGCTACTGTCTCTAGCCAAAAGCATAAAGATTATCAGTCTTCGGACAATACTATTGAACTTTCAAGTTCTCAATTATCAGTTCCTTTCAATAGTGATAAATTTTCTAAGAAATTATGTAAATATATTTCTGGAACATTTACCGCCACTGGACATAACTATCCGATCCACGAATTAGAGACACTAGCCTGTCTCAGAACATTGAAAAAATGAAAGCTTGAATTATTATCTACAAGGTTTTCAAACTTACTCTAAATATGTAACAGGTTTTTGGAGGTACAAACTACAGGCAGATTTCAACAAAGGGAGATTAATCAGGTGGCAACAACAATTCCATTATTACAATCCTTATCTGAAGTATATCAAGTCCAGCAACAATCCATTCACTGACACACTAACTCGAGAATGGAAGGATTCATAAAGACCCTCATTAATAAGCTAAAGCAGAAGCAGGAAAAGAGTGCAGCACTGGAACAACAACTTATCCTTTGTAGGGGGAGGAAGAAGCAATAATTCAATAAATCGATGTTATTCAGCAACAGTTAAAAATCAACTACATCGACGTTAGTACACTATCAATTAGCTCTGCTAATGGACAACCATCAACAACCACCACAGAACTTGCTAAATCATCCACTACTACCAATAATAATACACAAAAGACAACACGATGGGCAGACATCGTTGAACAAGAAGAAAAAGAAGCAAAAGATTTAGGGGTGGGCATTCGGTCGGTTCGGTCGAAATTATGAATACCGGGTCCCCAAATTCTCTCAAACCTTAAACCGAATTATAATTCGGTTCGGTCGGTTTAAACCAAATTATAATTCGGTTCGGTTTTTCACGCAAAACCGAATTTGTGAAGCTACTTGTATTTTTTTCACTTTTAAACTATTTTCCACACCTAATATAAACAATAAATATCAATTATATGCATCATCAATGATAAAATCAAACTTTTCAAATTTCAACACATAAGTCATAAAACATTTCAAATATTTAAGTCTAAAAACAACTACAAACATAAAAATCCACTATTTGGAGCTTGCAATTATAGTATTTCGGTTTTTCGGTCGAAAATTCGGAAATTTGGTTCGGTTGAAAGAACCCTGGTTTCCGAACTATCCATATTTTCCTTCCGAATTCCGAACCGAATAGCATTAATTTGGTTTCGGTTCGGTTAATTCGGTTTCGGTTCGGTTCGGGTTTACCGAACCGTTTGCCCACCCCTAAAAAGATTCCCACTACGAAGAAGACGACATAAAAGGCAGCAAGTGGTATGTCATATTCAATGGACCATATCGAGGAGTATATCACAACTGGGACATCGCTAGCCAGCACATCAATGGCAAACCAGTCCAACATCAGTCATTTAAAACAAAGGAAGCAACCGAAGAAGCATTAGACAGTCATACAAAGTGATGACAATGAAAAACCAGTCAAAAATCAAAAGCAACAATAACAGAAACTTATCATGAAGATACCTAGCATCAAGAGTATCCCAACCACCAAAGAAAAGAAGAACAATTGAAACCAGTCTTTCAAAAGTTCGTATCCAACTGGGATATGATAATCAACTACGAAGAAAAACACACAACCATGGGGTTTTATCCCGTCAGTCGAGGAGGACCAAAGGCAGTAATCACAGAAGAAGCATCACTAGAACTCTCTTATGAGTTCCATCAGTATGGATTAATCGACACTATCAAAGAATGAGGAACGTGATTAGAAGATATCTTGAGTTTTTCGCCAAGGAACGAGAAATATTTCTCAAGTATACAAGCAGCTACCCCATATTTGATGAAGACGAGCTATTGGTCGGATCAAAGGCAGTTATCCTTATGGGAGTATCAAACCATGATTATCCTACCAGAGATGACCTACGAGACTATGAGAAGAACCCAGACTACCAAGTAAAGGGTCTTCTAGCAGTATGCAGAGCATTAACCAAGATTGAACCAGAAAGTCAAATCAAGGTCAATTACAGCAGCTCCGATGCCATCATCACCAGTAAAACTAGAGGAAATGTGACCAAGGAAGAATGGACAATCATAACAGATAAAACTAAAGAATTCACTGAATTAATGGAAATCTATCAACTCTTCCTATCCAAATCAAGAAACAGCTGTGCAACGCACTTACTATCTATGAGGACCACTTCTGTGAATGGTGTGCATCAACTGACGAAGACATCAATGGACCAGCAGACCAAGACTAAAAGAAGCATGTGAAGAAAGAGGAATCAAACAAATATGGGATAAAAGGACAAGAGAAGGTTGGCCGACTCCTTTAAAAAAGTCGTGCATTATTGTACTTTATCAGCTTTTCTTATCGTTTCACGCACTTTCTTTTGACGTGTTAGCTTTACGTCCCTGTCTAATAGACGTAAGCAATGACGTCTTTGTATTCCCTCTCAGCTCTATATAAGAGCAAGAGTTTGCAATGAAATAAGGCAAAATGAGTTTGGCCATAAAAATTGCATGTTTACTCTCTCCCTCTAGCTTGCTAGTTGTAAGGCTTGGATCCACTGATCCTGGAGGCCACAACCACTTTCAATATAATCAAACATACGGAGCCCAGCTACAATCATCAAGCGATCAACAAAAAACTCAGAGTCTCCTCAGGAAAATAAGTCAGGTATGTTTAATAATCCTACCTCAAGTTATTTTGATTACTTTAACAAAAACGATGACGAAAACTACTTCTTAGATGGTGTTATAGACATTAAGAAAATTAGAGAAAAAACTAATTTTACTATTTCGGAAACTCAAAACTTTATCACTAAGTCTTTTTTATCAAAACTCTTTGATAGAGAAAACATTATTAAATACGGTAAAATGATAGGTGAAGTAGCAGTCCCTATTGATCAAACTAAGGGCGATTTTCTGATCCAAGTAATAAATAAAGAACATATTAGAAAAAGATTAGCTAAACTAAGATCAGAAGAACGAAATAAAATAGCTTATATTCATATCAGTACAATTCAAATTATATTAAAATCAACCATGAAAATAAGAATTGACGCACCCATGGAATTAGAAATTCGTAATGACAGACTAATTAACGAAGAAGAAAGCATTATTGCCAAAGGAACGGGAAATTTAGGAGTAGGAATAATTAAATTTGATATTAACCTACAACAAGGATTGAGTCTGGCAGATGGTAACCTTGACTCTTCTATCATTATAAAATATTTAAAAAAGAAATTTATGAAAGAAAATAGCAAACCATTTTCAGTAACTTATCAAATAAACTATGCGTTAACAAATAGTCACCACAGTTTAACCTTCAAAAATAAAGAAATAATCACTATAGAGGATTTATTTAAACCCTTATTCCAATTAGAAGCACCACTAAAGACCGTTAAAATAGAACCTAGCCGACCATCGATAACCCAAGACCAAAGACGGATGATTAGAACACAATCAGAGAGAATTAGGCATATCCCAGTAATTGAACAAAATCTAGAACAAGAAGAGATAAGCAATAATCAAGTAATAAATAAGTTGGAGAAATTGCAACATTCAATAACAAATCTAGAAAATAAAATCTAACAACTATAAATATACACATAGATATACTAGTATCTATAAAATAAATATGCCTACTACTTATCATATAAACAAATTAATTGAAGGAATAGATGCTATAAATCTCATCTCAATAAATGATATCAGTGTAGTCACACGTGTACATGGGCGCTGGGTCGTGCTTGGGCCGGCACGGGCACGCTTCGAGCCCATTTATTTCGTGCCGTGCTTGGCACAGCCCGTCAGTTTTCGTGCCGTGCCATGCAAGCCCATTTGTTAACTTTGCTACGCCCGGCCCAGGCACGGTTCTAATCGTGTCGTGCCTATTCGTGCTCGTGTCATGCTCGTATTCATGTTTAATGAAAAGGACGAAAACAAAAGAGAGAATGAAAAGGAAGGTGAAAATTGGACGGAGGAACATAGTATTAACCGATAATGTTTGAGAAAAGTAACAAATAAGGGGGAAAAGAAAATGGGAAGTATAGCGAGTATGATTTGGTTTTGTTTAATTCTTTGTCCATTTTTACTTATGTTAGTAATTACGTATATATCTTTATGACACTTTTAACAACAACAAATAATTATTTTTCTACTTGTGTTTTTTAATATTTGAACATATAATTCTTTTTATATTTATTTTCTATCAAATAAATATTCTTTTCGTACCATGTCTGTTCTTATACTCAATAAAGTCTCGAAAATATTAGGCCCAGTACGACCCACTTATATACCGTGCCGTGCCCGTGCTCGTGCCTGTGCCCATGAAGTTTAGGCCCGGCACGACCCATAAGTTATTCGTGCTCATGCCGGGCTGGCCCATTTATTTCGTGCTCGTGTCGTGCTAGCCCGTGGGCGGCACGGCCCGGTGCCCACGTACAGTCACACGTGAACTAACTTACTTTGCCTCAGAAATTGTAGAGGAGCAAATGAGTATTGAAACCACAAAAACATTAGAAGTTATCTCTAAAACCGAATTAATTACTGATATAATAACCAGCCTAAATAAAATAAAACAAAGATTATTAAATCAGTAAATTTTAATAAGGTAATTAATGAATAAAAAAATATTTGGGTAATTAATGAATGAAAGATATGTTTGGTATCAAAGCCCTAGAAGACTATTTTTGTCCACACTTTTCATTTGCACATATCTCTTATCTCTTTCCTCTTATTTCTCACGAGATATTGAGCTCCTAAAAGAATCAAGAGACTGGATTTTTCAAAGACGAAGGGAGACAAAGGGGGAGCAAAGCAATGGTTAAAGTGATTTACTTTAAAGTTTTTTTTAATATAAGAATTTACTTTAAAGTTAACTTTCAATCACTGTCATTTTCGTTCAGTAAATCTAAGAGGACTGTCAAAAAAGAGAAGTGTCAGTGAATTGGTGACATTATAGTAAATACTACTGAATTACTGCATATAGTGGGATTGATTGAAAAAGTAGTATAAATTGGCTGTCAAAAATTTATAGTGCAGGTGGTCTATGGGAACATATTTGGTCCCCACCTTGTTTATCACGGGCCTGGAGAGTGGGGAGAGATCAGAGAAGAGTACCATAACTCTGCCGGGTCTTAAATCTTCACGCCTTGACTTCTCGGGACCACACAAACTACAAACCATTGGTAAATGAGTTTGATTATTTTTGTTCATTTTCATCTATTTAGTCTTTACAACATTTTCCTCCCAATTTCCTCACCTCCAAATCTCCCATCCCCTCCTAATTTTCCTTCACCTCCCCTCCTTTTCCTCCCTTCTTTTGGAAACAAAGTTACTCACTATGTTTCCGAAGGAAGGGAGGAAAAGGAAGGGAGGTGAAGGAAATTTAGGAGGTGAGGGGAGATTTGGAGGTGAAGGAAATTGAGAGGAAAATGTTGTTTTATGGAGGAAAGTGGAAAGAAAAAAGTGTATTGGGAATTGTGATGGATATGTTATTTTATTAGGTATATAATAGTGAAATAATTTGAGTATATGTTGATATTATTTTCATTGCTTATGAATTGTGAATTAAATTTGTAGTTTTTTACTTATGAATGTGTGATGTAAAATAACGTTATGCGTGATGTAAAACAATTTTGTGTTACGTTATTGATTAAACAGTATTGTATTTAGTCTCCTCATTTTTATTTAATTATTACTATGAGACTTTAATTAACTTATAACTTGCTGGCAGAATTTAAATTTGATTTTCATTATCATGTTAATTACCTTAGGATTATATCACCAAGTTTAACGTGAAACAGAGAGAGAAAGAAAGTGGGAGAGAGAAAGAAAGAACAAAAGTGAGAAAGTTGTAGAAATAGATAAAGCAAAAGAATAAAAAATGAAAAAAGGACAGCCCCTCTTTCTCTCCGATTTGGAGAGTTGCCTTCCATAGTGTATTTTTTGTCCGCTTTCTTCCCTTCCCTACCGTTTCAGTTCTTAAAAAACAGAGGAAAGCTCCTAGGGAGTTGTGCTTTCCTCCATTCTTTTTCTCTCCCTCCCATTTCCTTCCTTCCCGAACACAGTGTTACACTTTGTTTCCGAAAGAAGGGAGGAAAAGGAGGGGAGGGGAGATTTGGAGGTGAGGAAAATGTTCTTCAGCGTTGAATAATTTTTAATTTATTAGAATGCTTGATCAATTATTATAAATTTTTTTGTAATATTTTTTTATTAGTCAGCGGTTCATTAGTGGTTTCTCAAACGACTTAACACCAGTTAAAACCATATCATCGACAATTAGGCTAGATAAACCTCCTAACTTAGTCTAAACTTATATGCAATTTTAAATGGTAAAAAATAATTGATGTAGTTAAATCAGGATTTTAGAAGAACATACGCTACCACTTATTTTTCCGATACAATCTCTGGTGCGGTTTAGAAAGAAAGTACAAATTTAATTCACAATTCATAAATAGAATATTAACATACAATCAAATTATATTACTATTACATAACCAATAAAATAACTTATTCATCACACTTCCCAATACATACTTTCTTTCTCACTTTTCTCCATAAAACAACATTTTCCTCCCAATTTCCTCACCTCCAAATTTCCCATCCCCTCCTAATTTTCCTTCACCTCCCCTCCTTTTCCTCCCTTCTTTCGAAAACAAAGTGTAGGAGGAAAATGGAAGGGAGGAAACATTCGGAGGGGAGAGAAAAGGAGGGAAAAGAAAATTTATAGAGAAGGAAAAATGATGTTTTATGGAGGAAAGTGAAAGGGAAAATGTACATTGAGAAATGTAATGGATATGTTATTTATTGATTAAATAATGGTAAAATAATTTGATTATATGATAGTTATGATGATTTGTGAATTAAATTTGTAAATTTTTGCTAATTTTGTTCACTATTAAAAATAAAAAATAGATCATTTAAAATTATCAACTTATTATGTAAATTATATTCGCTATTTTATTGATTCTTCAACACATCAATTAAAAAAATAAGCATACAACAAATGACACTACACATACACAAATTCATCCAAAACAAAACCACCTTTTAATACTAGACATAGATAATTCGTCAAAAAATGTAGATTAAGTTTGTTCTTTCTTATTAATGTTGCTCGGTAGTAAAATCTTGTTAATTTTTTGCTCTGGTTCTTTTTTGGGATAGCAAGAAGAAGAAGAAAGGAAAAAAAAAAAAAAGAGACAGGAGAGAGGAGAGAGTTGGACAAATAAAAAAAGAAGTTTATGTTTCCTCTTGTTTTCTCTCGGAATTGGGAGGGCGGGTTGAACAGTTACCTTTCCTCCCCTTTCCCTTCCCTCTTGCACTGTGCCAAAACTAAAAAACGGAGGAAACTTCATTGGTTCTCCAACTTTCCCTCCCCTCCTTTTCCACCCCACAGAAACAGAGACCGGTACCAGTCAGCAAACCGGCTGAAAAGAGCCGGTATTTAACTGTGGTCAAATCCGATCAATGTCGGTCAGATCCGGTCAAATCCGGAAATTCCGGTCGGTTAGACCAGAAATCGAAATTTAATGTTACCCACATTATATCCAAAAATAAACATCTTCCATAAGATTTGAACCATGGACCTCTTGTTGATTTTAGTTTAACTTACCCACCAGTAGGCTATAAGCAATTTTATTGTCTACATTAACCTTATATGTTATATATCTAATACTAAATTTTACACAAATCATTATAAACATTAATAAATTTTATTTAATAAAATTTTATTTTAAAGCATCTAATTGTTTAGTATTTTTTGAAAGTATCTAATTGTTTAGTATTAGTTACCAATTCTTAGCTATAAATTATTTTGTGTGAAATAATTTTTCTAATTGCTTTTTTATGACTAATTTATTTGGAATTGAGAATTTCCATTTTCCTCATGTATTTTATTAAAACCGGCACAACCGACATGAATACTGATTGTACCACAATGAGACCATTCTACTTACAAAACCGGCACATCGGCATAAACCGGTTTGACAACCTTGCTTATTAACCAGACCTTTCTATCCGCTGGCTGATCGAAGGGGTCGGTTTGACCTCAGCGTAAAGTAACTTGGTGTGACGGACAATAGTGCATCCAACCCCTGCCTCTCTCTGACTTCTCCTCTCCTCTCCTCTCCTCCAGCAAGTTTTGTTATTTTCTTTCACATGCAACAGCAACAGCAACTCTATTCCTAAATCCTGCTCTCCTCTTCCCTACTTCTTTCTTCTCAATTTCTTGTTTGCTAAAGATTTCTCATGGAGGTTCAGGTGAAGCAAGAGATCGTAGAATCCCCCAACCGCGGGCTCGGACCGAATCGACTCACAACCGGAGTTGCGAGGTTTCCACCACCTGATGTGATCGTGCTCAGCAGCAGCGACTCGGACTCCGACGCCGAAGAGGCTTCCGCCGGTGGCCGCCACAATGCCGACGGAGGGTTGGGAGGTTCGGAGCACAAAAGGAGGAAGTTGAACGGGTTGGGGGTCACTAAGCCGGATAACCTCTTGGCTCCGCTTCCGCCGGGGGCCGATGTAGCTTCCCAGGCTTTGACCGTCGTTCGCCCCGTCGAGTCGAGAGAAAACGGGAGTGTGATGGTCAATGGTCATAACTCTAAGCAGTTTTGGAAAGCCGGTGATTACGAGGGCGATTCCGTTGCTGCTTGGGATGTCCCTTCTGGTAATTTTTTCTTTCTTTTTTTGCTTGTTTTGTAACACCGGATGGTTTTACTTGTTTCTTTTTCGTGGGTTCATTGTTCTTTCCGGCTTTGATTGAACCAACTTTTGCTTTTAAGTTATGTTGCCTAGGCACAATTTTGCTTCAAGTTCAGAGGTGAATATTGTTTGTCAATGCTTTTAGCTCCCGTGTATTGAGCTGATTATTGATGTCGCTTTTTTCTTCACATGTTTAGGTGGCATGGATCATGTCAGGGTTCATCCAAAGTTCTTACATTCCAATGCAACCAGCCACAAATGGGCTCTTGGAGGTAGGTAAACTCTGGTAGCTGCAGTATAATTTCAGCTTATGCAATTTAGTAGCAGGACTATTAAGAGTCTGGTTTTCTTAACCTGCTTGGATTTTCTTTGCACCTATTGCAGCCTTTGCAGAACTGATGGACAATGCATTGGATGAGGTAATGTTGCAGGATGCTTTCTATGTCATGTATATCTTGCGATTTTCTTTGCTCTTATAGTGACTTCTGTTCTTGGAGCTCAGGTCTGCAATGGAGCAACGCTAGTGAAGGTAGACATGATGAAAAGCGGGAAAGATGGGAGCAGAATGCTACTGATTGAGGGTACTTGTATTTTTCTTACGTCTCGCTACTTATCTTTTAGCAGGTCCATACACATTTTTGCGTTAACCTTGAAATAGAAAGAAAGACAAGGAAGCTTGCAGTCTGTTCTTGGATAATATATACCATGGGTCTGTTGTGAGTTCGAAGACTGCAACCCTGTTTTAGGAATTAGCTTCGTGACAGTAATATTTGCTGCCCACCATAGAAATTACGCATCATTAATTTCTGTTGGACTCCTGGAATGCCAGAACTTTCGTCAGTCCTTTGTTAGAATTATTACTATCACCTTTTTAATTCTCAAGACATATTGTTGGATCTTCCCGTTTCATTGATATATCTTGTACTATTTTTCTACATTAATTTTTGTTTGCAGATGACGGTGGTGGGATGGATCCAGATAAAATGCGAAAGTGCATGTCCTTAGGTTATTCTGCTAAAAGCAAAGTGGATAACGCCATTGGCCAGTGTAACTTACTGTACATCGCTGAAGCTTTTCAGTTATTTGGTTCTATAAAAAGCTTCATCTTAAGTTGCAATATACTGCATTGTTTTGCTGTGGATATGGAACGAGTAATTCTGTTCCATTTTTCATATCAGATGGCAATGGTTTCAAGACAAGTACCATGAGGCTTGGTGCTGATGTTATTGTGTTTTCTCGTTGTTGTGGACAAAATGGCAAGAGGTTTTGTACCAACTTCCTTATCCACTACTGTGCATTAGTATTTCTTTGCTTCTGTATATTGGTGTTATTGATTTGGTAAATAGTAATGCTTGGCAGGTGGGATACAGTGATAGCATTGCCAGCTGTTGTTAAATACCAAATAACGAATTTTCTTTTGCAAATACATTCTTATAACACACTGGAATGGGATAGTACTGATTTTAGTTCTAAAAATTGTTTATTGGTTTGTCAAGTAACGTTGCAATTCAGTCATGGTTGTAATTGGAGAACCAAAATACCTAATCTGCTTTTTTCTCCAACTATAACAGTACACTAGGTTCACAGATTGCAGATTTCACATCATGAAATGCTAATTGCTGGCACTGTTTTAGTTTGATGTCTTTACTTGATTTTGCATTTGTTGTCCATGTGATGGGTTTATTAATAGAAGTTGACTCCTTGATCATTGTTTCCTTTGTGTGTGTGCTGTTTTCATATAATATCAGTATCTCTCCTCTGGTTGCAGGCCAACCCAGAGCATTGGTTTGCTATCATACACATTCCTGAGGAATACAGGAAAAGAGGACATAGTAGTTCCAATGGTACATACTCGAACTAACTATTTCTGATTATGTTCATAATAGTATTCTTATATTTAGAAATCACTATCTTTTGTAAAGAGCTCTATGTACTGTGTTAAATGTCTGAAAATCTATACCTCGAGTGTATATCCTCTTGCGGTAAATAATATTGCGTAGGAATGCACCTGAGCTAATGTATTAGTTGAATGGTAACATGTGATATCTGGCAGGCTTACATGTTATAGACTTATAGTAGTTCCAACGGTACATACTCAAACTAACTAGTTATGATTATATTCGTAGAAGTATTCTTATATTTAGCAAATCGCTACTTTCGTAAAGACTAAAGAGCTCTATGAAGTTTCACAATGAAGCTGTGTTAAATGTCTGCAAATCCTTACCTCGAGTGTATATCTCTTAGGGTAAGTAATATTGCTTAGGAATGCACCTGAACTAATGTACTAGTTGAATGGTAAGATGTGATGTCTGGTAGGCTTACATGTTGCACAATCCAATTTTGCTTCTTATGAGTCTCTGGTCCTTGGTTGTTTTGAGTTTGCTTCCTGGTTCTTGCTTCCTGAAGTGGATGCCTCAAAATTTTATAAGCGGGTATAACATTGATGTGATCCAGTATTAACGTTTGGTGTCATAAAAATTCAAATGGAAAGCTTGACTATGAAAGAGAAGGACAAGGGTGGAGCCGAATTGGTCGACTTTCTGATGCTGACTGGACTAGGAATGTGGAAACAATTCTTCAGTGGTCCCCGTTTCTTAGCGAGACGGATCTTCTACGGGAGGTGATTTCCTTTTAAACTTTTATCATACATTTACATAAGGAATGATTTTCTCTTGATGGCTCTTCTCTATCAGATGGTTGAAAGTATTCAATTTGTTGGCCGTACTATTGGTTATTGTGATGTGAGGATGACTGTTTCTGACTCGGTTGTTATGAGTCTGATTGATACTCGGACAAGGGTATGCCTAACATTCTAATTATTAGTTGTTCCATCAAGTGGTTATGGAAGGTGATTATCTGGAAATTGAAGGATTTAAAAAAAAAGAGGGTCAAATCTTCATCTTATATGATGGGTTTTCACGTAGTCTATGAGCTTGCATATATAGCCTGTTATTAACAAAGTTATTACTTAAATTGGTGTGAATCAATATAACTTTTGACTGTTACTGTTCACATAGCTTGTGGCGTTGATTTATGGTTGTTTCTTATCCACATTTGAACATTCTGAAATGGGATTTTTTTTACCTGGTTATATTATAATGACAATCTTTTGTTTATTTCTATGTTTTGTATTTCTATAGTTAGATATGTTGTCAGATCATGGGACACGCATAATAATCTACAATCTCTGGGAGGATGATGAAGGATTCTTGGAGCTTGATTTTGATGCTGATCCTCATGTATGTTTTCATGTGCACCTCTGTTCTTTTGTTGGCCCAATGGAGTAAAGCTAACCACAAAATTTATTTGCTTCTCTGATTGATTTTTGTTCTCCTTATTCTGGCAGGACATACAACTTAGGGGGGTAAATCGAGAGGAGAAAAACATCCAAATGGCCAAAGAGTTCCCCAACTCGCGCCATTTTCTGACATACAAGCATTCGTTACGGGTATTAATCTGTTTGATGCCGCTACCAGTGATTGAAGTGTACCATCAATTGACATTTTCACATGTTTATGTCTACAATTTTTCCAATTTCATTGCCAGAGTTATGCTTCAATTCTCTATCTCAGAATTCCTCCTGCCTTTCGGATCATCCTTCGTGGAAAAGATGTTGAGCACCACAATATAGTAAATGACATGATGATGTCCCAGGATGTGATATATCGGCCACAGGCTCCTGTTGACGGGACATCCAAGGATCATAGTAGTGTAATATATCATCTGTCGTATCTTAAAAGTTCTGATTTTGGTAATCCACTTGCTGATTTTTCATTACGATTTCGCCAGATGACCGCTGCTGTTACAGTGGGATTTGTCAAGGATGCCAAGTATCATATTGATGTTCAAGGGTTCAATGTCTATCACAAGAATCGGCTCATCAAGGTTAGTTTGCCATTACATGAGTGGTATGAGAATACTTCATTTTCCCCCATCCCGTGGCTAAGCATATCGAGATGCTACTTGATTTCCAACCTTGAGGAGAAAACTGTAAATCTTCAACTTGTATTTTTCGTTACTGAGATCTAGAGAAATGACTAAGATTTTGTTGAAAGGCGTCGTATTATTGAACTATATGTAGATCTGATAGGTTCTTTAAAGCTTTGTTGCTAGCTTCTCTCAGTACGCTCTGTCTCTTTTCCCTCCTTTTGTGATTCCTTGAACTGTCCTGTTGTACTCAGCCATTTTGGAGGCTGTGGAATGCTGCGGGAAGTGATGGACGTGGAGTTATTGGTAAGACTACTTGCCTAAAGTTTCTTTGGCAAGTGCAGGTGGTGTTAACTGCATAAAACTACATGTTGCTTTTGTTTGTGTTCTTTTCCCCCTTTTGGTAGGTAGTTTAGCTGGGAGATCGTTGACTTGTTTCATGTCTTGCTTATAGGTGTTCTGGAAGCCAATTTTGTTGAACCTGCCCATGACAAGCAAGGTTTTGAACGTACAACTGTTCTGTCACGGCTCGAGACTCGTCTAATACAAATGCAAAAGAATTACTGGTTGGTGACCTATCTCTTAATTATGATACTGTTTATTTAACATTTTGCTCTTTGGAAAGGGTGGCTGTGACAAAACCCTTTTGGGTTGTTGCTTTAGGTGTTCAAACTGTCACAAAATTGGCTATGCTCCCAGACGTAACAAGAAAGGCTTAGGTGAAGAGACAGGTAATTACGAAGACTTCATTAAGATTTTTCTGCATACTTTTTGTGTGAATAGAAAAAACCATTTGGATCCCTGTAATTTAGTCTTGTGACCTTCATTAACCCCAACCCGTTTGTTTTAGCATCTTTTTGGAGTTGGGATCTCTTCTTCAGCTCCAGACCACATGTATTACTGCGTGTTAATGCTAAAACAAACTTCTTCATGGCCAGAAACAAATTTTTCACACGATCAGAGTTCTGGAGGAAAAGCACCAACAGAAAGACCGGGGAAAGTGCGATATGGAAAGCAAAACGTTTCAAGGAAAGGAAACAACAGTATCACAAAGTCTCCAGTTAAATATAGAAAAGGATTTGAATCTTCTGAACCATCATCTCCTTCTGAGGATGCAAATGAAAGTAACTTCCGCAGTTCTTCCCCTCTGAAAAAAGCAACTTCCAGCGCTCCTGCAAGTAAAACTTTACCGACAGATGTGTTGGATGGAAATCGGCCATCTGCACATTTGGGACATAGCAGAATTCATAATGACTCCAGCCCATCTGGGGAATGTGTTCCACCAGTCATACGTACCCAGTCAAAGGTTATTTATTCCTCCGTTATGATGTCATGTAACTAGACTAGGGTATGGTTGTTTATATTAGAAGCTATTGGTTTCCTTGGCTTGTTAAGATGCAAAGCTGTCGGTGCTTCTTTATGTCCACATAGGTCGATACTCACATTTCTTTGTTTGGCTAACTCAATATCCAATTTATTTTTTAGTCTCTTTTTCCAATTTATATTTTGCTAGAAGATAATAATAGCTCTCGACTCCATTGGCAGGTAGGTGTTGTTAATCTTGGTGAGGACGGCCATGTTTCAGCAGTCAACATGGATACAAGTGACTGGCTAAAGCAAGAGAACCGTGTACTGAAGGAAAGGTTAGCATTCTGATGCTGGAGCTTGGTTCTCTGTGTGTGTGTGTGTGTGTTTTCTGTTTGTAGGTAGTAATTTCCATCTGGACTGTCCATGATTCTACTGTAGATTAGAGAAGAGGGAGGCGGAACTTCGATTGATGAGTTTGAAGTGCCAGAAATGCAGTGCTCTTAAGGGACAGGTATGCATAGTTGAAGGTTACTCTTCCTCTGGTGATGCATGTTGAGGATGGTAGCTAACACAAGTGTTAAGTGAACGTTGTTCTGGCTAAATATCTCTTTATCTCGTACTTTCAGTTGGATCACGCACAGCAGAAGATAGAAGACCTGAACAAGGAGCAGGAGAGTCTAATTGATATATTCTCAGAGGAGAAGGAGCGGAGGGACAAGGAAGAGGATAATTTGAGGAAGAAGTTGAAGGTTTTTTTTATTCCTCCCTAGGGCCCCCTTATATGGATTGGTTTAGGCGAAGCTAACAAGAGTGGCAGGCAAATAATGAGCTATTTTGATTTTGCTGTAGGATGCATCCAACACCATACAAGAATTGCTAGATAAGGTAAGGCTCCTGGAGAAGATGCAACCAAGCTCTAGCAATGCAGGAAGGTAATAGTTGCAATGGCCCCGTGAAGGTACGAAGAAAGGAAGAGTTTTGTACAGATTTTGAGCATCAGGAAAGGCAAGAGAGATAGGTAGTAGGATGAGCCGTGGGCAGTCTTGGGTCGGAAGTAAATTTTGTTAATATTGTATGCTTAATTTACTGAATTAAGCTTCTAGTTAGGAGAAGTGGCTGCGCTGCATTTTGATGGCTGTAAAAGGCTGCTGCGCTTACTAGGTTGGTTGCAGGCAGCACCAACTTGAGAAGACAAGCGATGAATCCTGAGTAGAGAGGGGTGGGTGAGCCATCGTCCATCGAACCTGGACTCGTGTCTCGTTGGGACTGAGTTGGAATTGTCCACGTTATTGAATTACAAAGCAAGCCCTGTGGGCCGAGTGCTATTAACCAAGCTTGTCAAAGTGGTTTATCCCTTTATACCGGTTTGAAAGTAGGTTTATGCTGGTTTCTGCAGGTTTTAGCAAAATATATAGGGGTAGTTTGGATGAGGAATTGTAACGGATCAATTTGACACAATTGTCTCGTTTTGAGATAATTGTATCAAATTGCCTCGTTTGCCAGCAAAAAATGAGACAATTGTACCAAATTGCCTCGTTTGCCAGCAAAAAATTTGGACGGATCAATCTGCCTGATGTATTTTGAATTGATCCATTTTGAGTCAATTTCAATTATCTGGGGTGGGGGCAGGTAATTCGAATTGACTCGTTTTAATTGCCTCGTTTATAAAACGAGACAATTGATCAAATTGACTCATTTCTAGATAATATCACTGACCTTCAATCTCGATGTTCCAGGTTTGAATTCTTTAAGTAGCAGCTAATTTAAAATTAAATATATATCACCTTTATAAAAATATCTACATCTATATTTTCATAAAATACAGGAATCCAAACCAAATGAAATATTTTTATATTCTCAAATATATCATTTAACGCCAACAATAACATAAACATCCATAATTGAATCTAGGATTCAAGAAGACATAATTTTGCGTACTTCGAAGCGTGTGTAAATGTTAGATAGTGGCAAAATGCCTTGTCTAGACCCCAAAAAGACAGTCAGGCTCTTTAGATAGTGTCCTCCACTTCTTATTCCTCAATTTGGAATTTAATTGCAGGCCAATTAGATAAAGATTCGAAATTCGGGAATTTCAACTTCTCCTTTTCACTTCAACCCCTTTCGCCCTCTGTCCCGCTTCTCGTAATTGCCGAGTATATAACAGCCACAATTTATGAATCTTGCATCTTTCTCCAGCTTTAGTCAATCTGACTCTCTTCCTTGCTTTTCGATGTCGTCGTTCGCAGTGCGACCACAACTCAACTTATTTAGTTTATCTTCAACTTGGTCGTTTCAACCCTCTACCCTGTTCTTCACCATTATCGACTACAGAGAAGAACTTGTGATTATAAAAATAATGACATATTTTGCTTGTTATTGAGGGTTAGCTAAGTTATTAATCATTTGAAATTGAGTTATAGTTAAAAAGTGCTATATTTTTTTTTATCCCTACTAAAAATTGCCATACTCGCTTAATACCAAGGCACCGCTTAGGTATGCTAAGCGTTAGACAGAGTTCCAACACCTGCCTAGCACCTAGCATCTACTTGAGCCTTGTTTGAATGCAACAAATAACATCAATATATAAATTTCAAGAAACAAATTAAAATAAAAAAAATTCATTAATAATTGGTCTCATTTCATTTTGAGGTCGAAAATTAATCATGATGGTCATAGCTGGGCATTCCAGCCTGTTTTGTATCGGTACTGGTTGAACTCAATTGTACTGTCTAGATCTGGCGCCATCTCCTGGTAGGAGGGATAAGATAAATCTAAGTGCTGGGGTCTTTTGCCCTTGGTGTGTCAACTCTAGCTGTTATCGCCTCAATCGGCTACACCTCGCAGTCTGCCCAAGGTCAGAAGAAGTCGACGAACTCGCCGACATCGATGCAAGACAGTGCATGCGATTCATCGCCATTTCACCATCTTCTCCCGTTTGAACCACCGTCACCAGAAAACCCACCAGATTTTCAAAAAACCCCATTAGATCTGCAAACCACAACCGCAAAACCTCTGCCGTGAAGGCGAGGAACTTGAATCTGCCCGGCTTCAAGATCATCCACGGGGAGACAATGATTTACTACGACGGGACGATTGTGAGGGAGGCGGTGACGCTGCTTAGGAAGGGCTATGGCGAAGGGAGAAAGATACAACCACTGTAACCAGTTGCTAATCGATAATCGGTTATCCAGTAATCGATTAACCAGTCTCCTCTTGGTAACAGTAGTCGGCAATAGTTTGGCACAAAACGATATACCAATAACTGACGATTAAACCGATAACTGACTGATTACCACCCTTACTTGCATGATATAATTAGTTATTGGTTCGTTGGATGGATTGCAGTTTGAGAATAGAGAGAGGGATTCATGCGCTCTTTTGTTTCTAGTGGGTTGACACTAGGGATGGCAATCAAACCCATGGCCGCGGGTATCCGACCGCCCCGACTCAGTCAACGCGGGTAATCCCCGCTTTGATCGGGTATGGGGCGGGTATGGGTAAAACCCGCAAAAAGTTTGATGGGTATGGGGCGGGTATGGTTTTAGCCTCCCCCGCCCCATACCCATACCCATATCCGCCCCACCAAGAGAATTTCTTCATATATACAAAAATATGTAGATCAAATTGTAATCTATCAATGATGATGAGGATAACTTGAGGAAATAAATAGTAGAAATGCAATTGAGTGACCACCTTAATCAAAACCTAATTCATTTCCCTCAATTCTCCTTTCACTCTTTCACTTTCCCCCTTGTCAACAAGATTATGTTAGTTAATTATTTCTTAGTAGATGTATCAGAGTTAGAACATAATAATTTGAAAAATATTATACTCTATATTATGTATTAACGAATGTTTTAGAATCATATTCTTTGAACCGTATTAAGAAAATGATCGTGTTTTGTTGAATTCGTGATATAATAGGTACGTTTAGAGTTGTAGTTAAAACTTTTCTTGTAAATTTTAGGATAATAATGTTGGATGTACGGGTACGGATATTACCCATGGGTACCCGAAACCCACGGGGATGGGGATGAGTTTGCCAAATATTCCCCCGCATAGGTATGGGGCGGGTATGGGTTTGGATATTTGAAGATGGGGATGGGGATGGTTTAGACAAACCCGCCCCATTGCCATCCCTAGTTGACACTTGGTCACTCGATTCGTGGGCTTGGACTCAATTCTCCTGATTTGAAGAGAAATCACATATTGGAAAAGGAGCATCAATAATCCGCGTCATTAAAAAAGATCTCTGCGCAAAGCAAGAGAGTTCGATGTTTTTGTGGCATTGGATTTTCACCAATGTTTGACCTATTTACTTATTTTAATAAAACCAAAAAGGGTTGTAGGTATAATATACCCCTCTGCTATGACGTTTTATCAAACATGCCCATGTAATTTGGAGATGGGGATAGGGATAATATTACAATGGGACGGAGATTGGACCAATTTGGGGAGAGAAGCTAAGCCAAAAGAAACCCCACATACTCACAAACTCACATGGGTGAAGTTATTACACAAACATAATATTCAAAAAATGTTTAAAATAAGTATAATGAGGAAAAGTGTAATATTATACCTTTCTTGTGCTTTTGCTAAGATCAAGCGGAATGTAACAATAAAGCTACGGGTGACTAAATGACAAACTAACAATTTAATATTCTTCTTTACCTCCTCCTATGTATCTTCTTATCCAATATCCTTCTCTCAAAGCGAAAAGAAAGGTGGAAATTTATTATCTTGATCTCTTCCACACCTCTCTCAGCTTTTATGAGATGAATATAAAAGATAACAAATTGAGAGTAACCAAAGGAAACAACAAGCCGATTACTCTTTTTTTTGTCATAGATATTCCCAACGGGAACAAACAGATACAAGATAAAAGCATTTTCAGGCGAAACAAATAAAGCAAAAACAAGTAAGGACAATGCCCAACAAGAAGTCGGTCATCGAAAAGAGAGCCTTTTCTGCCACGAATGGGTGGCTCTTTAATACCTTTCCGGCATAGGCCAAATCGTGACTTAAATTCTACCCTTTGCAGGGAGAGAGTCATTGATTGAGGCCCATGAAAGGTGAAAGCATGACAGCAGATCCCTGCAAATGTAACAAATAATAACAAATATAGTATGATGCAAAAAGGTTAGAAAGTAAAATCCGAGACATCCTGGCTGCAAAACTAATGAAGTTGGCTCGTCCTTAGACTTTTGGCAGGCCCACCTGCAAAACAAACAAACACATACCACAACCAGGTATGTCCGAATAAACTTGAAAAAGCCTAAAAAGCACTTAAAAAGTGGCCCAAATTAGGAAAAACCCAAGTTGAAAATCAATTACTGGACCTTGAGTAGATTAAAAGAAAATGCAAACCCAGTCCATAAAGGTACTATTAATTGTAGTTAAGATAAACCAAAAGTGGTAGCTCCAACTGTGAAACCGTAATAAAAATTGTTAATTAAGAAAAAGGTAAGTGGTAGGAAATAATAATGAAAAAAATATATAAGAGAAGGATAACGCCTACGCGCGTCAAGAGTCTCCAAATTACTTTACTCCTTTACCTTCGGCGGATGAGGATGAAGGACACAGCAGCACCTTACATGTGTCAGGAAGAGGGAAGCTAGCGAGATGCCTCGCACGCCTGTACAGACACGTAATGCCCTCGCTGGCACAAAGCGAACTACTCTTCTAACTGGAACTAATTCATTTTCCATTAGTCGGTTATGATTAGAGTCTTTTATTTCTATATCGAAGAAAATATTTATTTTCCTTTTTCTAATACATTCTTGTTCTACTCTTCCTCTCCACAACAAGCTCCAAGATCCAGCATTCTTATGCAATTCTTCTTCAGTTCTAGAGCTCAGTGTAAAAAGAAAACTCGCAAACTTGATCGATCCAACCGAAGTGGTGTTTTCCATGAATAATTCGTGCTCTGAGCAAAAGCACAAGAAAGGTATAATATTACACTTTTCCTCTTTATACTTATTTTAAACATTTTTTGAATATTATGTTTGTGTAATAACTTCACCCATGTGAGTTTGTGAGAATGTGGGGTTTCTTTTGGCTTAGCTTCTCTCCCCAAATTGGTCCAATCTCCAGTATGACTCTTCACTCATCATGTTCGGTGACTTCGTTCCACCATCTCTTTTCTCAATTGAAGACAATGTGTGATCAATGGTGTGTGATTGAATATTTGGCCTATCTTTTCAGTATCAGGAGCATAGATAAATGCCTAGATGTCAAAAATTTGAGGGCTGCAAGCACATGTATGATTGAACTGCTTATGACCTACATTGAGAGTGTTTTGGAACCTAGTATTGTGTATGGCAAAATTTTCAAATTTGAGAGTCTCAAACACCTTGTCTCGTGCATTCTCCTACTCATTGTGCTTTGAATTGCTAGATGTCATGATAGGGTGAAATCTAGGGAGGATAGTGTAGCGCTATGGAGGATGTTTGTCCATGATAAATATAACCTCCAACTCACATTTTGTTGGTTGATATTGTTGATTAGTGATGCTTGGACACTTGTGTTGGTGATTCTTTAAACTTGTGGACTCAAAATGTTTTGCAAAATGGTGCTCCGATCCATTTTTGGATGAATGTTCTTTAAATGTGTTCAAGAGTGTCTCACGTTTTGTGGAGACCAAGCACTCCGTGTTGTGACAAACAAGAAACCCTAAGTGGTGATTGAAGGCTTCCCACTTCATTTGGAGGGAAGATTCATCATCAAGAAGTGTAGATTGGAGCTTAATAAGAATAACCCATTTCCCACTAGATGATTTCTCTTCTTGAGTTTGTGATTTCATTTTTTTCTCTCACTATGGAATGGACTCCATTCCCACTTGGGTGTGTATATTTCTAGCTTTGTATGTTATGATTCGATGTTGAATGATTTCTATGCTTGTACACTCTTGATTATATATTGAATTGAGGTATTATTCGTGAAATTGATTGGTATTGATCACACTCTTCAATTTGAGCTATTGGCCTAATTAGGTAGAGAATATCCAATTAGGTTTATTAGAGCATTTCCAATTCTTCATTAATGGTCAAGTGAATGATAGTGATATTCGTCTATGATGTTGTATTGGATCAAGATCCTTTAGTGGCAGCCAAATTGCACGCTTTATGTGGACTATTTGCCAAACTGTAAACTCCCCCCGGATAGTTCATTTAGGCGGGCTTAGATAACTCTAATAAGGGTACAACCTACTTTAGAGCTCTCTGGTGTATAAATCTAGAGTGGGCAAGCTAGGGAAATCAAGATTGTCCTAATTAAGGGCTATAGAGAAGCACACCGAGTGACCTTCTCTTAATTGAATTCGAATCAATATTGTTTATGCTTTGTTTAGTTAGTTGTTTAATCCAAACCACAACTTGTTAGCTAGATAACGATTAGATCGTGAAGTAGTAGTAGACTTAGTGTCAGGGTTTATAGATTAAACTTACTAACTCTGTACTACACTCGATTGATGGTTACACTTGGCCATTGATTGGGAGAGAAGTCCTAGGCTAGTAAGTTAAGAACAAGGCCCAAAACAACAAAAACAAATGTGTATAAGCCCATGTACGCCGTGGATTAGGGGACTAAACCTAACCTACATCGGGGGCAATGGTGTGTTTCGAGTCCCTTAACCAGGCGCTTCCTTCATGTACTTGTGTCGACCATATATAATATGACTTCAAGTTTTCACACCACAAACATGTGAGATTGTGATAACACAAACGGTAGGATGAAACATGCTCTAGTTACTCATTCATGTTAATATATATAACTGTAAAACCATGTTACTGTTCACTAAGGTTTTAGTTTTGATTAAATTGGACTTTCATTTGGGTTTCTTGTGGTGTGGGACATTGTTTTAACTATGGATGGTAATTGGTAATCGATTATCGGGTTAATCGTTCATCGTACCGATAACAGTATTATTCGGTTAACCGATAAGCGGCCACTATCAGTATTCTATGGGGATTATGATGGACACGGTATACCGTTTAGTATCGATTAATGATCGACGATTACCATTTGAACCTGATACCAGAATTCCTTCTCTCAGTCACAAAATGGCAGCGAATCCAACCCTAAGCCAGCGAATAAAATCAGGAAAGATAGAGACTCAGACACCAGTTGTCCAGTCCCCCCAGCCACCACCAGCCACCGCACGTCTGCACCAGTCTAGGGAGAGAGAGGCACCACCGAAGGTCGGCGCTCGAGCCCTAGTGGCTGATTTGGAGGAGCCGACTCCCGATTCGGTTTCTCCTCCCTGACAACTCAACATCTCTTGTGTCATCAGTTATCTACATCTTTTAGCCCCTGCTCTGTTGTTCAATCTCGCCTAATTCTTGCCAGCGCAGGTCAATATCAGCAAGAGGAGCAGCCCCTGTCTCTTCTATTGGGACTTCAACCCAAAACCGGTTTGACTTGGTTAGTCCGATTCAAACAAATTTCCAACATCTTCTTTTCCCGTTTGGCCATTCAATCTCCTCCTTACCCCTTACCTTTTCATTTCGTGTCGTCATTTGTTTTCCTTCCCAACGACCCAGCAGAGTAGGAGCAACAGCCCAGCAGTTGGAGGCCTTGAAGGCTTGAAGCAGAGGAGGCAGCAACATAGCAGCATTTTGTTTGAGAAACGTGTCTACATATGAAATGTCAAAATTTGTTTTTCATTGTTGCATTTTGTTGGTAGGAGCGATAGTCAAATGTCATCTTACGATCACTCAATCCAAGAGAGTATAATATTTTATCAAAATTTAACTTTATATATATTAGAGATGAATGATTAGAAGGAGGTGAAGAAGCTAATCCTAGTACTAAAAGAAGAACATGCTCAAATAGATTTATCTAAGGTCTCACAATAAGAAAGTGGTTTGTTTCAACTCTCACCTCATCAGTATGGTCCATACTTTGGGCCCACCAGGTGAATTATTTTTTATTTTTACTTAGGTGACCATCGTTTCATTCTATAAACTCCCTTTTTATTTGAAGGCATAAAAAATTTATCGACCAAGGCATCAAAATTTCTAATTTTTTTTGTTCTCCATTTACTTCTCTCTCTCAAATGTTTTCTTCAAGGAAAAATAACTTATACAAATGCAAATTAACCCCATATATATATATATATATATAAAGCTTATATTGGGTTACTGTTGCCTAACTTATTTATATTTTGATACTCCAAATTTAATTAAATCACAATATATAATATATATAAAGCTTATGTTGGGTTACTGTTGCCTAACTTATTTATATTTTGATACTCCAAATTTAATTAAATCACAACTTAGTCACTATAATGTACATTTTATATTTTGATACCCCAAATTTAATTTTAATGTAAAATCATTGAACAATTATGTTTTGGTATCTAAATTGTATGAGAATTTCGTACCTACAATTTTGTACTTTTATATATTGATTCAATGTTTAGATTTCACTTGAATCCATGAATTCAATCCACCAATCCTTTTGAACCAATCCATGAATCCAATCCACCATAACATTAAAGTATAAATTTAGTTTGTATCATACAAGATGTTGTATCACTCAACTGTAGTAGAAGATTCGACCATTTTATATTTGCTAATTACGTGAAACATTAAAAACTGATAAAAAAGATACGATTTTAAAATATTGCAAGAGCGAACTTATAAACTCATTTAGTACATTTACGAGGTACTAAATAGTATACTATTTTTATGTATTCCAATCGCAAGTATGTAACGGGTCCATACACGACTGACCAACAGTCTAGAGAATTAATAATTGAAGCATGAACCACTAATTTTTTTAGCTTAATGTCGAGTCCAATTAAAAATGAATATATATGGTTATTACATATTAGAAATTCATCATTTTTCAGTATGAGATTTGAAGGCATGAAATTTTAAGCGAGTTTCAGCTTGTATTCCTTTTGCTTCTCTCTAGAGGTTTTATTTTCACCCGAGTAGAATTTTCAACAAATATACATATCAAATAAACAGTTTCCTATTTTTATAAAAAATTAAATAATTATCATCTTAAATACATAACCATAAAAGGAATTAAGCATCAACTGTGCAAATTACAGTTGGGTACCTAAACTTAATAGATCCTTAGATTTATAACCTAAAATTAATTTTTTGGCATATAAGTCCTCAAAATACTTATGGAACATTACATTGTAGTATCTAAAATTTTGTGTATTACATCTTAGTACATGAACTTGTGAAGTTCTACAAATAGGTCTAATTTTTGTATGTGTAATTAAAACACCCTCGAATAAATGAATATCCATACCAACTCATACACATTTAGATTATGAAAGTAAATATTCATACCCTACCCAAACCCATCTACAAACTTTCAAACCCATATATACGTCACTCATACCCTACCCATAATCAATGAGTCTACTTGGGTTTAGGTAAATATCATTTATTAGCCAAAATTTTTAAATTGGATGTTGACCTACATATATCTATCCTTAGTCAATATCACATTGTCAAGTCAATATTACTAACAAGACTGCTAACAAAAAAATAATTTTAGACTAATAATACTAACAAAACACAATATCGGGGTCACGTAATACATTCCTATAGACCATCTCTACCCGCGACAAGTCGCGGCATTGCCACCTAGTAGATATTAAAGCACACCTTATTAAAACCGCCGACGGGATAAGGAGAAACTCGGATTATAGCTAGCTGCAACAAAGTGCTCCACTAAACCTAGTTGTAAATTAATGGGGCTCCAGCCCCCGAGTAATATGAAGCTTCCACGAGGAGAAATTTTACATTTACGTTACGGTACAACTTTAGATTGTACCTATACTTTTTGTACAAATTTTTTATGGTACAACTTAAACTTGTACCTTTATGTGATGGTACAACTTCAAGTTGTAAAGTTGTACCATAAAATAATGGTATAAATTGTTTTATGGTACAACTTAAATTTATACATTTAATGTTATGGTACAACTTTGAGTTGTACATTAAAGCATCAATGCTATATAGCATAGTGGAAGTTCTCTTCCACAAGTACAAATGGATATTTCTGATACTTTAAATTAAACTGAAGGGAACCTTTACTATGATACAACCATCAACCATTTATTGAGCTTGGCGGATAAAGACTAAAGAGTAGCCACGATAGGGAAAAATAATTATACCCGGCCGGTTCCAAAAATCTGTGGTTCCCTATCTCAGCCAGCCTCAAACATTTGCAGCCACAAATACAACAAGTGTGACTGATCGATCATCTAAGACGAGCACAAGATCAGTAGGCACAACGATAAGATAGGAGTGAAGCTGAGGTATTGCCAACGTGGTCGGCCAAGATCAAGAGATTGCTCCACTCCACCAAAGTATTTCTTGTTCCTTTTTAAGGAGAAATTGCGATAATAATCTAAAACCCTTTTTTAATGCAGCAATCATTTCATTTCATTTTTTTTTTGCCCCAAGAAAGGTTAATAAAGAGAACTATACAATCTACCTGAAATCCTTCCAACCTATTACATCAATGAAGCCACCCAACAAAGTCGAAAGAACATAACTCAAAAGGAGAAAGTAACAGGATTTTCTGCACCACTCTATGGGCGACCCTGTTAACAGTCCGAGGAACTGCCCTAAATCACAAAGGGAAACGCGACAGGGAAGCATGATTGATGAAATCCTTCTTTGTCATCTCCTTTTTATCTGCTGCCATCCCGCACCTTAGGTCACATTTTGTGTCGTTCGCAATTATATATTCTGTTTTTTTTTTTATTTTGCATGGAAAAAGGGTTTTATATGATTTATGTATGTAATAATAAAAATTATTATTTTCTCTTGGCGTTTTCAACTTTATATCATCCTGATGAATATTTTAGATCACTTTGTTTACAATATCCCCCCTGCTTGAATGGACAAAGGTTTGGAAAGCTTAAAGCAGGGATGGAATAAGGGTGTACATGGCTGGTAAGTCTGGGTTTAGGCGTTTTAATCATCTCACTTATGCACTTTGATTTTGATTTTGAAAATACCAAGTTCAAATTCATAAAAATAAATTTGAACCATACGGTTTGTTTATTATTGAGTTGGATTGAGTGAATTACTTTTTTAGGGGAAGGCCCAACCCAACACTAAAAAAGTGTATAACTAATGAAAATGTCCAGCAAATAAACCAAAGAGGAAAACATCAAAATACAAAAATTTATCGAAATAAGGTAAATACGTTATTCATTGTAAGCTAATGCATCCATGATATATTATTATTCTAAAATTGCATACTTAAAAATCAACCACATGAACCATAGCCTATATTAACTAAATACGTCGAATATGACAAAATAACCTAATTCACTAAAAGATATGCTTGTATACGACCGTAATTGTAGCATGAGTTAGGTATCTATGAGTTGCATAACCCAAAATCCGTATCCAGCCTATAAGAGACGGGTTCAATGAAAAAAAGTCTCATCCAACCTTAAATTGAATTTTAAATATATATATACTAATTAGTTAGATCATATTGGACAATAGATTGAATTAAATAATATTATTTATTTTCACCACAAAAGAAAATCCTCTACCAATCCCGGATGGGAAAAATCTCCCTCTTCCATGCTGGCTCTTAAAAGAACCACTTCTTTTTCGTTTGTGCAAAACTGTTAGCAACGACTTTCTCAGTATTATTACTAACGAATTCAATATTTTAATATCAACTTTTAAATGGTGGATCATGAGCTCATGATTAATTAACAAAGGCCTAGGGCAGGAGGACCCTTGTCCAATTTTCGAGAATCATCACAATAAATCCAAAACTTAATAAAAGGAGCACTTTATCAAAAATAAAATAGCCAAAATCATCACATCACTCCTCACTTGCTTTCTACCCTAGAGATAGTTCAATGGCGGAACATCACTAAATTTTTGGACAAATTTTATAGATCCTCAAATAGAAGTTTTTGTGTTTGTTACATTAATGCACGTTTGAATATCAGAGCCAGTGATATTCACTACATACCACAAGATCTAGTTTGTTAAATTTGAAATATTGATATTTACTACCAATGGAGGTGAGATCCTCCGAATTCGCTCCAAGGTTGGCTCTAGATCGCTCCCCCTCTCTATGAAACGCCTCTTGGGTATTTTGGGACCAAAATCGCAGCAAAATCTCTTATACCTGCGACAGTGCACGAGCTATGACCATTGGCCAGGCTCACGTTCTGACACAGACAGTGACCTTTGCAAAACTCGGTCGTTTCATTTAGTTTGATATGCAAGTCACGGCTTAGGGGTATAATTCA